GCTTCTCAAATAGAGAGCGTGACATGTAACGCAATTCCAGTCACAGTGTATACCTTCCCATTTGGCGCACTGAGTTCCTTTTGATTCTCTCTTGGTCATCAATGCGGACTCCCACAGCAGCCGAAGCAGATTGCCAAACGAGAGCTTAAATTCTATTATTTTGAAATATTAAATAATCCCATAATTTACCTTGATCTACGAATTCTGTCATCTCTAGAACGCCTGAGCCCAGCTTTCCCTCTGCAGCTGATTCAATATCCATGTTTAGAGGAGAATCCTTATCAAAATGTACCGGTAAATTTCTGGTTCCGTCTTGGACCTCAACCTCCACGAAACTAGGTCTTTTATGATAAGCTTTGTCTCCGATCGCAAAATGCGAAGCCTTTGTATCAGAAATTTTCCTGGAGGGACTATATTTCGTCTTAGGCGCTGGTGGTAAAATAACCGAGTTGGGCCTTTCCCCTTCTTTAAAATGGAAATCTTGTTTTTCTAATTCATCTTTATCCGTCATATTTATGTGATTAAGTTTTCTGAGGCTTTGTTTTTCATTCGGGTGCGTGACATTTATCAACCTTGCGTGATTCAACGCGTTTATGATGTCGTTTTCCAGTTTCAAAAGTTCCTTCCGGCTGGCATTTCTCATAATCTGGAGCTGTGTTTGTTCGAGTGTATTTTCCAAATGTTTTGGTAACTGCTTTTTTTGCGTTTTTTGTTTAGTAGCTGGTTCCCCTTGTTTATGGTGTTCTTGTCGGTAATTGTCACTGTGCACCCTATGTTGATGCTTTTTGCTGTACTCAGTATGATGGAAATTAGTACCATACTGTTGTTGCGGTCTTTCGTTTTTGTTCGGTTTTGACAAATTCCACGACCTAGCAAAGCTTAATGCATTAATGATGTCCTCTTCTAGTCGCAAAAGCTCTTTTTGGCTCGCATTTTGCATCAGTTGCAGCAGGTTTTCATCAGAGGTATTTCCCGCACTTATCCTTAAGTTATTATTCGTCGACCATGACTTTGTGTGATTCAATCGCGGGTGACTATTTATCAGAGGTGAGCCTTTGACGGAACCAAATCCCTTGCTCTTGATTATTTTGCTCCACCCTTTTTCCAACAGTCGCGTCTCGTTCTCCAAAAGAAGGTTGTGTTTCAAATGAGGTTCCTCTGTCTTCCACCCCTGCTCCTCACCAGTGCCATTTGGGTGTGGCCTTTTCCTTTGGCGAATAAATTTCAATATTTTATGTAGGCTCTCTTCCATAATACGATGTCTCATTTTGACTTTAGCCTCACTAGTGAAGTTCTTGCCTAACCTTTGCTGTAGTTTGGAATATTCGGTGGAAGTTTCGTTAGAGGAAGAATTGAAACTGTTAAAAAACTTGATTAAGTCATCAAAATGTTTTTTGGCCGCAGGATTTATAGGAAAAGTAAAATTTCCCTTCAGTTTCGTGTTGTTAAGGGAAGTATCATTTCTCCCTTGGTGGACGTCGATCGGCCATGAGACATGTTTACCACGTGTGACATTATGATTAGCCACCAGAAATTTGTCCTTGGGTTTAATTTTAAGCAAATCAACGCCGGTTCCACTTTTTAAGTGTAAACTTGTGTTACTTTTTACATTTGCCCAAACATTATTGGAATGTACTAGTTTGGGTTTCATGTGATGGTTGGAGTGAGTCTCGCTTTTTAAATTAACGTGTGGAGATTTGCCTTCTTCAGACAGATTTTTGTGAAACGAAACTTTTTTCGCTGTTGAGGGTAAGATTCCTATGCTGACATTGTGAGCTTTACTTGCATGACCGTCTTTCGTGAGAAAATGACTTGTTTTAGTTTGCTTGTAAATATTTTTATGAGTTAAGCCATCAAAAACTTCAGGTTCCTCTTGAATATTTTCCACCTTTCTTGTAACGGGCAACATTTTCTTAACGCTTAATAATTGTGATGGTGGCGAAACACTCTTGGGACTTCCTTTGATAACATGGATGTTTTCATTGTCAGTTACTGTCTTTTCAGAGGAGGCGTCTTCAGGAAAATCAGTTGGTCGAACATTCTTAGGTGGAAGACTTATGGGCGTGCTATGTATAACTCCTTTGCTAGGAGAAAGCGTTCGAATAAGGCTCGAATTATTGTCCAGAACCTTGCTGATAATAGGCTTATGTAAAATAACGACGCGTTCATCTTGATTAATCCCATTCCTTGCCCTATCCATCAAATTTGCCTTGTTCGCTTTAACGATCCCTCCATGATTTCTTTGGTTCGCCGAGGCAATTGTCTGAAGTTGATTTCCGCGAAAGGGTATCCGGATGGGCCAGGAAAAAACAGAACTGTTAAACGGTCCATGTTTCCCAGGAATGGAAACACGCGAAATAATCCTGGACTTGCTGGAAGATGCATGAGCATTTGTAAACTTTTGTATCTTTTCAGTCACCTGCGCCTTTCCAGAAGAACTATGTAAAAATACTACTTTGGGCGTGAGATATTTGGATTTTGCGAAAGACAAAGTAGAATTCTTGTTTACAAAGGGAGATTTATTAAAATTGCCTTCTTGAGGTTTATTAGGAAAATTTTCCTCGAAAATTTCAACGAGTGAGTCAGCCACTGGTTTGGCGGGTGTTGCTGGTCGCACCACAGCTTCATCGATCTCTTCGACTTTCTCATCTGAAGAAGCTTGCAACTGGATTTGTTTTCCCCTCAGAGCTACATTCGGTAAGCGACTGACAAAATCCCTTCTTCTATTAAATTTACCTGAGGAAATATTTGCTGTTGAGAATGAAACAAGGAACTTGTTGGCTTAGGAAAAAAACTAAATCTCAACTGATTGATAACTTGGATTTCCATGTGACAGACATTCAGAAAACTTCTGCCTGTATGAGCCTGTCAAATGTTCTAACAAATGCGAAAAAATTATGAGAACCATTCAACATTCCAGTCGAATTTAACGCTTGACTAAAATACTGGCAGGAGGTTAGTTACATCTCATTGCCCTGTCTGAGTCATTTGTCGTTCAGTTAACCATGGGAGAAACAGGTTAAGTGGTGTTAGGCCAGCACCTAGACGGAGTAATGCTAGCTATGTCTGATAGAGAGCTGAAAAGTATCTCATGTTCAACAGTACATCTGAGTAGCGAGAGATTAGTAACCTTTCACATTACAGAGTAACAGTCAGTTTGCGCGACGAGTTATGGCCAAACTTTTGTAAAACGCCTACTTGAACCTGCACTTACACAGACTGAACGCATTTCCAATGATTGTTTGCTTTTTTGTTTTTTTGTTTTTTGTTTTTTTATTTGTCGATCTTAGATGAACAAACCATAACAAACCACCCCGTGGTACATTTTTGTTACTTAAATCAGTTCAAATGCATCAAATACACGACCTCTACCATGCACCATACAGTAATTACCTTCATGTTTGCTATCGGCTTCTGAAATGTGCCCCTTTCCACAAAAAGTCATTCTTGCGTACAGCAGTGTCATTAAATACAACCAGACACTCGCCTCTATCTTTCCTCTCATTTTCGTGGTTCATCCTCTTCGTGTAAGCGTAGTAGAGAGTGATTTTTGATACTTCGCTTGGCTGACTTTCAAATCCTTAAAATGCTATGGATGTCAGGCTATGTGACAAGAACCAGCAGCTTTAATGAGCCCCTGGGACCGAAACCAACCAAACACATCGTGGACAATGGTATGGTAGTGTTTCAGTCAATAGGGCACAGCGATGCGTTTCATTGATTTGAGTCACCTGTTTCCCAAGGCTTTTATATCCATGTATTAAAAGTTACAAATGCCTTACTTTTACGATATTGCTTTGTAAAATTCGCTCAAGTTGGTTCCTTACTTAGAATTTTGGCGTTAAACCTCCGACAATCTGTCCCATCTTATAATACGCAAATATTACGGGACGTGGGCCGAATACTTCTGATATGACGTAAACTACGTGATTTGTAAATGAATTGGAGCTCTTAGTAAATTATCTTGAGAATTTATGAAGTGTTGTAGCACAGGATTAAAGGAAATTTCCATATTCAATTTTAAAGTTTCGCAGAGGTAGTACCCAAAGGCAATTGAAGTGTAATCCAATGCGCTGTAACAGTAGTAGAGCAGTGGTCTGCTAACGTCAATCATTTGCTGAACCAAGATAAGTGCAAACAATTGATTATTGACTTCAAGAGAACCAAACACCAGTTCGACGCTGTAACCGTTAACTCTGGAGAACTTGGACTTGATTCCCAAGCAGAAATGTTATGGGTAACCATATCTAATTCAATGGTATTTTCACCATGCATTGCGAAGACCTAGAGTGTGTACAGAAACGCGCGCTTTCCGTAATTGGCCTTTCATATCATCATAGTCTAGCATCGTATAACATCAGATCTTTGAAAGACAGGCGCAAAAAACAGTATTATAAACTCTAATACTGCGCGTAAACTCCATCGTCTATCGCTACCCAAGAGCGTTAGCAGATACAGTTTTAGAAACCAGCGCAAGTCAACGTTGTCAGAAATGCACACAAATCGTTACACGGACACATTTATTCTATCCATGTCCAATCGGTAGAACTTTTTCACGCAGTCTTTTTCTTTAAAGCTGTATTACATGGAATTGTTATTTTATAAATGTGTATATAACGTTAAATTTTTTTTATTATTCATGCAATTCAGCCTTAGGAGGCTGCGAATTTGGATATCTTAATAAACTATCTATCTATTATCTATCTAAGTTTTGCCCCCACTTGATTAGATCCCCGCAAAATTTTATCATAAAATGCGCTAATATATAAGGGAAGTGAAAACTAACTAAAGGTGAGCTTTTTATCCGGGCTTAGCACGAATCAACTTTCAAACAACTGGGTTCTAAAAAATACTTCAGCCAAAGATAACTGTGTATTGAGGTGAATCAGACATAAACTCATTTCAAAGGTTATCAACAACTTCTTTATTAACAAATATTTTTTATCAATGCGATTTATTAACCTAATGTAGAGGTCTATTAAATCTACAAACACCTTTTTTTCGATCGGTAAAATGCAAGTGTTCATCACTTAAATCTGTGAAAAATACAAAGTAAACATTAAAATGGAGAGATTCTTCACAGTTTCTCGCTGCGCTCATGATTTTGCTCTCCAATATCATCTAAAACGCCGTGACTACCTGTAAAACTCGACAATTTTTTGTGTAGTTTTAACAAGAGCTTCACTTGTGCAATTGCTTTTAAAAGAAATGGGGAAAGACTTCTCATGGTTGATAATATTGGTAATATAAAAGACTAAAATAATAACAATTAAATGATCAAATGAAAACGGTTTTGTTTCCTGTTTTTTCCCCTGTAATTTGTCAGATCTGTTTATTGTTTTTCCCGAGCAGCTCCTCATTTGCAGTTATTTCTTTGTATGTTAGTTCTCAGATCGTGTTATAAGTGATTGTTTCCATGTTGATAATTTTTCTACAACTTCCTGCTTATCTTGAGACCGGTCATGAGTCATTGAAGGGCTAAAAAGATGGCGCATTGCAACCGCATTGACAATGGCACTTAGTATGCATCGTGCAAACCAAACTTTGGTCGCAAATTACAAATCGCCATTCAAATTAAAAACACTAGCTACTACAAATCTGATCTGATTATCTTGCATTGCCTAACCAGCGTTTATGATGAGATTTACTGTAATTTAATTGTCTATGTTTAAATCTGTTTTTCTTGTGCCTCTCGATCTCTTTTCGTGTTGGACGCTTAAATCTTGACGGAAGTTTACTTCTGACGTCAGTCTCACTTTCCTCTGTTGCTTCTTGTTCACTGTCTTGAACTTTATCATCATCGTTATCATCTTTATCGCTGACGTTAAGCTGAGAATTCATCAGCTTACTGATACGGATTCCATCGTCATCGTCATCTTCATCGTCATCGCTTCCTTTTTTCCTGACCTTCACCTTTGAACCTATTAATTTGGCTAAGTTTGTCCCATCTTCATCCTCCTCCTCCTCCTCATCATTATTATCTTTGCTTACGCCGACGCCATGTTTCGAACTCATCAGCTTGCTGATTCGGGATCCATCGTCATCATCATTGTTATCGTCATCGTTCACCTGTTCCTCTTCTTCATCTTCTTCCTTGGCAACATGGTGTCGAGCTTAAAATGAAAAAAAATTATTATGTTGTTTGTTGGTTGAGAATTTTGTCGTTATTATGGTGTATATTGGTGGTACTTCAACTTACGTTGAAGTGTTGATATATTTTCAAAATCGTAAAAGAACACGACTTTACCTTGTATTTAAAGGTAAATGACTATCATGGAGGCCACATATGTTAACTGCTCTTAATGTGTTTTTAACTCTTACAATGAGAAACTCGCTAAAAAAAGCACTTTTTTTTGACAAAATAGGGGCGGGATATGTCTTCTAATCATAGCTACGTATCATAAAATTTGTAAACTAACACAACAGCAAGTTTCAACTTTCCTGTTATTGTTATTATACTCCGTCACTAAACACCCTTAAGTTCTTGAGAGAAGACTTTGCTATGGGTGTATTTACTGACCTTTACAGCCCTCCATACGTTGATTATACGAGTTGACGAACATTGCTTTACACGTGTGTTCTACCAAACAGCGTGCAGTGGGATCAGCTTTACAAACGGCTCCACTGCAAGGGTCATATCCACAAATGTACCTGGCAGGAACCTTGAATACCCCTGTTGGTAGACACCCAAACAACATGGAAAAATCGGCGTTATTTTTCGGATTATGTTGGATTTCTTAGACTATAGGTTATAGTTTCTTTTCAAGTAAGATTTGACGTATCACTCGGTGAAAGTCATTACAGAAAATGAAGTAGATTTGACAGCTGAAGTGTAGGATATATTGGAGATAAATTTTCTATTAATCGGAGTCACAAAAGTAAAAAAAAAATTTCCTATCAGTTAAGCTGTTAGGTACTTTAGGAGTATTCAGGTTTTACGTCGAGTAAGTAACAAACCTCCGGTTATCACACGAGGAGAATATTCGGTGATAAAGCTGATTTTAATTTTGCGGCTACTTTCACATCTGTGCCCGGCTAGCTCAGTCGGTAGAGCATGAGACTCTTAATCTCAGGGTCGTGGGTTCGAGCCCCACGTTGGGCGCATTTAAATTTTTGTTATAAAATGTTTTTTTAATCTTTTCATATTTAAGAATTAGACAATTTTGAATATGCTTCATTTTAGCAGAAGTGGTCAATCAGGGACCGTCGTTTTTGAAATCTAGATTGTGCGATTAAAATTTTTGCCTTTAGGAGTTGCGACTTCCAAAATGGAAGCAATTATCCTGTGCTGAAAAAAAAAATAGACACTTGCTTGAAATGCCACCACACCTTTGCATTTGATGGTCTTCCCAAAGGCGTCAAGGAAAACTGGATGGCATCTTGTGTTCACAACACACTTAGCAGCCGCGCCTTGAATACAAGTGGTGTATTTGCATGGATTGAAACGACACACGGCCTGTGGGTCCACGTTTAGGTACAAGTTATCACCTGACGAGCACAAAGAAAATGCATTTAGCTGAGTGCTTCATCATCGTTGAACTCAAAAGAAGAAACTAACAAAATATTACCTGTACACTGCGAAACTTTCCTCTCCTCAGAGTCGAAGAACACCGGCCGGCATTTAAAGTCACTGACACATGTAGCATAAGGTAATAATATGCACTTTGCCACCCTACATGGATTGTAACCACACACTGTCTGGGGGTCTATATCCACAATGGAATCTTGATCTGAAAGGTGATGTACAGAATAGTTATGCATTTTCCCATTCTATAAAATTCCTTTTTTTTTTTTTAATCTCTAAACTTCATAACTTTAAACTTTGGCGAAGATCGAGAAATACCAGTTTAGTAACTCATCTTTTAAGAATACAGCCCGGCTAGCTCAGTCGGTAGAGCATGAGACTCTTAATCTCAGGGTCGTGGGTTCGAGCCCCACGTTGGGCGCGTGATTATTTTTTTTTTTACAAACAAAATGTTCAAGGGTGTTACGAAGAGCACTGATCAACATCCAGTGACTAGAACATGTATCCTAGAGCAATGCTTTTCATTTTCATCCAAAAAAAGTTGATCAACACAGTTTCTCCCACAAGTGCATTGGTATTATATTTAGTAAAAAAAATTATCTTAGTTGTTACCTCTAATTGTAAGGAGTGTAAAAAGAGTTATAACACGAACCTTGGCATTTTTTACCATAGCAAGGTTTAACTTGCTTCCTTGCTCCTTTGCATTTCTGTCCCCCGTTGGCTGGTGTCGGGTTGTTACAATACCGTCGTCGTCTCTTCATTCCCTGTCCACATTTCTGAGAGCAAGAAGTCCAATCCGACCATTCCGAATAGCCACCGTCAACTAGGTCGTGTCAAGAGGAAAACCATATAAGGAATGAATGTGAAATGATCCAATCCTGTTCGTATTTATCCTCCTACTGAATACGAGAAGAGCTAAAGATGTAGGAGAAAGGTATTTCGAAAGCCTCCCAGTTGATATGCCTACATACCTGCACACTGCTTCAGTTTACAGAGCTTAAGTTGAAAGCGCGGTCCCTCGCAGTTTCTCCCGCCATTTGCGGGCGCTGGATTGGTGCAATACCGCTCACGTGATCTCAGCGCAGTTCTTCCACAAGCATGAGGACACGACGACCACGTGGTCCAGAGAGTGAAGTCGCCATCAACTATAATAAAACAGAGAGAAAGCAAGACAAACTTTTCTAAGTGCTTTAACCATTTCACCTTAACATCAGTATTTATAATCTCCATACTGTTGTTCATACTTTTCCTAAGGTGCTGACAGGGAGAATTTGTTTAGCAATCAAGATCTTCTAGAGGTGGTGATCATTTCCTTAAAAATTGTGACCTTAATTTTTGATTCAGTGGTGATTGTAAGAAGAAATAAGATATTAGTCACTCTTAGAGGTTAATTCCCCCAAAGATTCCTAATTAAACTCATAAATCAGTATAACACGTGAACAACAATGGCAAACGAACTGGACTTGGTTACCTGGAACTGTAGTTTCACCTTCCTTGCTTTTGAGAAATTCACTTATATTTGCTAATGTATCTGAGGAAGACTGGTTTTGATCACTTGGTACCATGGAGTTGTCAATCGTGGGCTTGATCTTTCCTGCATCGCCTTCATTGATAGCTCCACCAACCTGCTGGTCCTGACTTCCTGGGTCTTGGAGGCGGCTGAGCTCGTTTATTTCTTCATTGTCGCTATCACTGTCATCTGGAACATCTAGTGTAAAAATGTTTTAGGCACACTGTCAAAAGGCTTTAGGTATAGTTACTGATCAAGGGAAAGGTGGACGAATGGAAAGACCAATTGATTATACGACCAGTGAATGTTGAAATAAGCCAGCATGAATTAAAAAAGTATCTAACAAGCCCCTCAAGGAACACAATAGCAAATGCAACGCTTTCAAACTGAGATAAATCACTTACCCTTGCCTTGTTGCCTCTTCACTGTCCTTTTTTCCTCAGGAATAAGAGACTCTATAATGGTATCCAAGTCTGGCGCTTTTTCTATAAGTTTAAGACCCCAATTCATTTCACAACCATGCACTATTGTAATAATTTTGGCAAATCAAGCAATGTCTCCATATCCGTTAACGCCTATTGCTTAACCCTTCCACCCCCAGGAGTAAAATTTCTCGTTGTAATGTCGGATCGATATCATTATCTGAGAAACTGCGCACCTACCCCTCCCCTAACCCAACATTAACCTCAACTTGTTATCAGTTGACTTTTGTTGGGTTAGGGAAGGGGTAGGCGCGTTGTTGCTCAGGTAATGACATTGATCTTCAATATCAGTACATTTTTACACAGAAAGGCAATGAGTATAAAGAAAAAAATATTATCTGGGGTATATCGTTTGATTTAACACCAAACTATCTAAAAGCATGAGAAATGTCAGGCAAACAGTGAGGAGAATTGAAAGAATTATCAGACTAGATATATAAAGTCGTAGTAAGTTGGGTCTTGATCAACTGAGCGTGGCATTTCAACTTGCGCACGCCCTGCGCGCCTTGCACCTACAATAACTAACCTGAACAACCACATGCCAGCTCATTCACTAATTTCCCTGTTGTGTTGAAATGCTTAGTTCTACTTTTTTCTCCGAACGCCTAACGCTGTCTGTTTTGGCGATAAAGAGCGCCATATCGATCCAATTATTCACCTCATTCTATGATCGTCTCCACCCTTTCTCGAGTAAATCGGTTTTGGTAGCTTTACTAATTCCTTGAAGACACCTGGACAATGTTTCATGCTGGAAATTCACTTGGATTGACGGTATCGTGTTACATCTACTTTTGATTAAGTGGAAACTAAGTGCCACTTACCCTTGCCTGGTAATGATTTGCGTAAATCCACCGTTGAAGCAATGTTTATAAGGGCAATCAAGAACAGTACAACCACCAAATTATCAGGAATAAACAAAAACTTCCCCGCTTTCTTCTTGTGCATTTTCAGCTCCTATGCTACCAAAAAACTGCATTCCCCATCTATCAAAAGAGGAATAAATTCAAAGTGAATTCCGCTTTAGGGCAGGGGTGTCCACAAAATAAAACTTATCTAAATCTGGGTTAAAATAATTTCTATATTTAAACAAAACGAACAGGTGAAATGACAGCAGGGCGTTTTTGACAACTACGCAAAATTAATCATCCTTTCACGAAAGCTAAGTTTAAGTCTAGATGTTTGCAGGAGATCATTTTAACCCTTAGATTTCACGTGATTAGTAAAATATGGTCAAAATATCGCAGCACTTTTTCATTCTTAGTTTACTAGATTCAACTTGGAGCATGTACAGTCGATTGTTATGAAGTACACATTACCTTTTTATGGTGGCAAAACAGGTGTCTACTTGCACATCCTTTCCTCCAATAAGCGACTCGTCAAAACAAAATATTAGAGATAGAATTAATCTTTTCAAACAAGAAAGATCGGCTAAAACTTCAGCGAAAACGCTTGCGGTCCGAAGTGATATGGAATTTCTTCGAGCTGACATCACAATTCGTTGACCCGAATAGGTTTGGTGAATAATGCAAAGTCAAATTTAGGATTTGGCAAGCTTCAGTAGGCGCAGCACGCCCGAAATGAAAAGTAATCCGCTGATTACTGGTGTACTGCGGTAAGGAATGGCTGACTTTATTCTGAGGTAATTTTCACCATAAAACAGTCGTTTCAAACAAAAATGAAAATGTTTTATTTCAATCGAGTCGAAAATGGAAATCACACCACGCCAGTGTCTGACAGCTAACCGTGTTCTGCTATGTCGAGTCAAAAAATGTTCACCAGTGCATGTGAAATAAGTCCGGTGTGGACTGGTGATATTGACCGGTACCATGTTACTTCCGATAATTTTCCGCTCCAACACTTCTAAGTATATGTTTGTATTAAGTTAATAAAGTTTACGCTTAGAGACAATCTCATGGAGCTGTAAGGAGAATAGCCAAATTGCATCAATAATGTAGTTCGGTAAGACAGTCTATCCTAACTGTAAAAGCGTGAACTTGATTTTATTAAGGGTCTCTCATAACCATCCGATACTAACATCAAACGTAAAACGTAGGAAAATAGAAAAAAAAATGTCTACGTAAACACGAGGACGATAAAAAGTGACGAGTTACAGGAATAACAAATGCGATGCATGTGTTGTGGCCTTGTGAGACCACTGGCTGCAAACAGTTTGTGTCGTTAACATGATTCGCAAGAACTCATCAAAACGGATGTTCTTTAGCTTTTTCCATTTACACAATGAACTACACTAATGCTGTATCCTCTTCGTCTTTCACTACTTCACCACGAGGAGACTGGATTCTAGGTTTTCGACAGCAGTAGATCTTATAATCCTCTTCCCATGCCTCCGCTTGTTCCACGGTCTGTGGCATTTCACTCGTCACAGTTTCTGGTAGCCAGAAGGCCATTACACCAGCAGCCACAGACAAGGCTCCAAATATCAACAAGGGGAAAGTTTTTCTCAGATTTGGAAGGTCAGCCTTAAAATCAACAATGAAAAATTTGATTAATAGACATTTCAGTTACACTTCACAGTTATTTATATAATTACCGACGGTGTGGTGAACAATTGTTTAAGTGTATATATCACACAAGAACCAAATAATAAACTCATTTCTGGCTATAACCGAGAAAAAAAAAATGGTCGGACATTTTAATAACATTCAGCACACCATTTAGTCTCTTCGACTGCGCGGAGAAGAATAGTTCCCGCCTATTATCTCTAAGCTAACCAATCAACGCGCGCGAAAAGCAACATTCACCTGAGTAGTATACACTAATAATAGATTTTCAAAATTTGGCATGCGTGCACTAAAATTGGTGAAGGCTACGTCTGCAATGAACGAATCAAATTCCTCATGGTCTAACTATAAAATAGGAAACATTACCAGTAAAACAACATATGGAGCAGTTATTCCACCAATCCTGGCAATCATCGAACACAGTCCAACGCCATTGTTTCTGTACAAGAAAAGCAGTAAATATCATTCTCATCATCATCATTATCATCATTGTTTCTGATCATTATCGATATTGTTTTCATCAATATCATCATCGTAAATATTAATATCAGTATTATCATTAAATATATATGCCACATTGAAATTATCAAAAAGCATACCACACTAGTGACCTTACCAATGTGTTCATAACCTGTACACTGTTTACCGATTTCATTTCTCATGATGTTGTCTCTGCCAAACTGACTTTATACACGATCTCGCATTCAACCCGCGCTCGGTAATGGAACTATCATCGAATCAAATATCATACCTGATCACCGTTGGATAAAGCTCCGCCGTGTATAGATACACAGAATTGAACGTGGAAATGATGAAAAATTTTGCAAACATCACAAGGACGATGACAGCAACTTGGTATTCTAGGGAAAAAAAATAACACGACTTCCTCAATGCTTTGAAGTTAATTGTAAAATGTGATCGGCTTCACAGAGAAACCGAAAATGAGATGAATACACGCAATCGACACGTTAACACACATTCGAAAACAACTGCAAGGGTAAGACAAACATCCACAAAATCAGACTATTCTAAAACAGGTGACTGAGAACTGTACATAGGAGATTGACTCGTCTATTTGGAATTGTTAAAACTCATCTCTGTCTCTGTAGCGCAGGGCGTCTGGGAGTATTGTAGACTCCCCTCTCCCCTTGAATAGGACGCTAGTCCATCGTAGATAAACCCCACCCCACCCCACCCCTCCTCCCAGCATTTCTTCCTGTTCCCGGAGCCCCTTGAGCGAACAAATTATCAGGCCAGCGCCTCTCCAAATCGATTGTCCGCGTGAGTAATCGCTGGCGTGATTTACGCTGAATGGACTTACGGTTTTCATGACAACTCGTGGATCCCTGTTCTACGAATTTAAACATTATTACGAACCTTTACCACTTGGTACTGCCAGAGCTAACAGACAGGCTACCCCAGCAAGCGTCATGAATGAAGAGTACGTTAGACGTCGACCAAACCTGGGTCAGAAGAAACACATCAAAAGACAATTGAAGATAAAACATCGCTTCGGAAGGTCACGAAACTTCGTGATCTTAGATTCAGGAAGGCATTTTCGTACCTTTGTAAGCAATAACAACATAATGCAGTGGATGGAAAATCTACCACAAGGAGAAGAAAAAAGTTCAGGTACATATTTCCAGCCAGATTCCTAATGTTGTAGTTGAGGCCATAGAAAACCAGCGCGTTTGCGCACCTACAAGACAAAGAGTCACATTCATGAATGATATGCAAAAAAAAACCATTGTTTACACCGTAAAAATGCTCGGGCAGGGTATTCACCCATATCTCAATCATTTAACACGGGAATATTTATTTGGAAGAAACAACGACTGTAGTCTTACGAAATTAAGTCACATTTTGTAGCCTTAACAGCAACAGTTGTCAAAATACGTTTTGTATTCACATAACCACTGTATAGTTATACCAGTTACAAGGAGTTAGGCAGACTGCTTTTGATTTAAAGTCCCTCCATTGTCTTCTGCTTCATAACTGCTTACCAGTTAAAGAACATTATCAGGGTTCGTTTTCGTAACTTTGGAGTTTTCACCGTGTCAAGAATTCCATATTTCTCATCTTCAAACTTTCTTGCATCGGTCTTTCTGACTTCTTGAATCAAGTGTTTTAGGTGTTTCGAATCCACGGTCACGTGGTTGTACTTAGCGTATTTCATCAACACTTCGTGAGCTTCGTCAAGGTGATTGTTGGCGATCAGCCACCGGGGAGAGCGAGGTATCCACCTTAAAAACAAAGAAAATGAATACTGCGTTTAAAAGGACTTGAGACGCATACTTGTGAATTCATTGTCAATTCTGTTCCATTGAGTTGACTTAAACGATTTCTCGTAAGACCGAATCAGACTGACGACAAAAAAATAAGTTAATTACATTCTAAAAAATGCTTAGTAGGGAATAGATAAGAGTCAAAATGAAGCTCTTTGACTGTACAATTGTCTTCCTCTCTAGTTAGACTGGATCACTGTTTCGTAAACTATCAGAAAAGAAATGATCGACCTTAAGAAAAGCCTGGGCACCAGTCATCGTATATCTCCTGGCGCGGAGGGGGGCCGGAGGATTTTTGGAGACCACATGGTTTTTAAGGGGAATTGAGGAGGAATTAGTCGTTGCTAACAGAGAAGAAAGGGGGGGGACTATAGAGAAAATGGCCGCCATTGAGGGGGATCATGAGTAAACTACAGAGCCTAATGGGATGATCAGGTAAATGTTATTGTGACACAAAATTTAAATCCAAAATCCTTCTATTAGCTGACAACTTCTGCTACTGAATCTTTTTATCAGCTGTGGGAGCGATTCGTTCTTATGGTTTTTTGGAAATAGGATTTTTATACTTCTTATGATGTTTTAATGTTTACATAGTAAGTATTTGTGTATTTTTCTTAAGGGCACACTTAATTTGGAGCCTCGCTCTGTTGTGTGTCCCGCACCTTCGTCTCTCGTTCTTGTGACCCCCCCACCCCACACCACCCCCCCCCCCTTCCCGTGATGAATAATGAATAATGACGGGTCCCCTACCACCAGGCGATGATGGGGAGGAAGCTTGGTAACGACACTGCAAGCATGAGGTAACGCCAGTTTGGTATTAAATAAGCAAGTAAAGCGAGAAAACATCCACCAACGGTTAGAAATAGGAAGTTGATCATGCCTATGTACGAGCGATGAGCTGTGACAACCATTTCAACACAATACACGAACCGCACCAACAAACAACCAACGGTCCCAGCCCCGGCAAAGAAGCGAAACAAAGAGAACAGCGACAGACAGTCCGCGACAGCGGAGGCCGAGGCGAAAGTAGCCTGTGAATAGGAAAAAAATGAAAGTTAGTCATCATCGTCATAGAAATGGTCGTAATGTAGTAAAACGACTACAATCAAACCTGTATTAAGCGGCATTTCCACTTCCCACGGGGATAGCGGGGTGAGCGCTTAATGCAGGTTCCGGCACAGATTTAGAGTTTTATAAAAAACCATAAACGATGCCAATCAATGCCATAATTGACCATGTACAGAATGTTGCTCAAAAAATACTTCCTACTTTGACTCTGGGAGAGAAACATGGTATCAAAAGTCCAGCTTTCAAGAACCGTTCAATACCGGTGGAAAATGATTAAAAACAGGCCGTTGGGAACGATTAATAGACTGGTGAAAATTACAGAGATTATGGGAAATCAAATTCGGGACTTTGACAGCTGATCGCTTAATACAGGGTGACCGCTTGAGACAGTGCCCCTTGATACAGGTTTTACTGTACCTGTTACGTACCAGAACTCCAACGCTCAAGAAGAATGAGAACTTCCTTCCAAAGTGATCCGAGATGCTACCAAATGTGATTGCACCAACGAAGAGACCAGCCATAAAAACAGCTTGAGTCATGGCTTTCAGGTGTCGGCGGTCACAGATTAGATTCCACTGAAAATATAACAAACATGACATATAAGAGAAGAAAAAAAATTGAGGCCTTTTTTTTTCTTACCCGACAATTATCTTCAGTGCACCACAAGCATTTTGGGTTCTCTACCTGCCAGTCTCAATAGCACTTCGCCTGCACTTTGCTGTCTTTTACAAATACAAATATAAAAATAAGCTTTACAGCAAAGGAATTTGGCTTCAATACGAACAGTCGGTTGACATTTGTACTGATGTTGTTAGGACCCCACAGGAACCTTTCATGCTGAAATTAGCCTCGTTTCTAACCTTTTGTAAATTACGTCGCAGATTACGTAAGATAACACGCATAACTTGATTTTTTCAACCATCGCTATGGATCAGTTTAAAGCAATTCATCGACACTGCCGCAAATTGCGCCATGAAATCAGCAATATGGCCAAGTTTGAGAGCAATTTGTCGAGAACCGATGGAAAAAGGGCCACGTGGCGAAATTTTGCGAATGTCCACACACGTGAAGGTGAGGTTTGTGTTCCCTACCTAAACAAATGTTGGTTCGAGTTGTGAAGCTTTCCGACTTTTCAGAGTTATATAGTCGTTAGTTCTCAACATATCGTTCTCAAATTCGGTAATTTTTACTCATTTTATGTAACTAGTCCGTACAGTGTCGAGGGATTCTCGCTAACTGATCCACGTCAAAGGTTGATAATGCCACGAAAAGGTTTATTTACTAGAGAATCATTAAAAACACTTCGACGCAAATTCAAGAACACTTCCTCGTAAATACCGCAAATACTCAAAGTCATGGAGCTAAATCAAGTAAAGTTACTTCTCGGCAATCTTCGGTAAACAAAACATGCATAAACATTACAATTTCTTACTTGAGAGACAGCGCTGGTAAAAGGGCCACGGAATTCATACTCATGGCAACTTGAACAGCAACCAGAGGCACATGTTTCATTTCTCGACGTCGAAACACAGACGAAGGGAGGCGAAGCGCCGTAAAATACCTGAATTAAGAGTTGAGCGCCGGTAGGAATAGAAACCAGACACATAAAAGCATAGAGAACCATTTGATAGCGACCGAAACCACCGGTTATTTTGAGAAGGTCATCGAACTCGTGGATTTTGATTTCCTTCGTAGATCGATTCTCTGTTGATTCCTCGGGATTTTCTACTTCATCCATTTCCATTTCGTTCAAAGGAATGGTGTCTGCACCCAGGGATCTAAAAGAATGTATATGAACGCAATAACTATGGCGAGAAAGTGGCAGATATTGAAGCAGTCATCATGTGTTAGTGACGTGACTTGCCAAATGTAAACAGTACCCAGGTCACGCAATAAGCTCGGCTGGCCTGGGCCGTTAGTCCCATCACACAACGCAAGGAACAGAAGAGCTGCGTGACGGGACCAAACAACCTCTTTGAAGGAGACTGCGGCTGCTCTGGAGAAAGACTGTGGTTCACATCTAACTGTAGCGGGTTTACCTCGAAATCCTTACTCAACATCATTTTACACGGTCTAGTAAATTATGTTTCAAAGGCAACTTCGCCTTCTTCTTTCTTTCTTATTTATGGAGATCAACACCCTCTATGGGAAAGAAGACTGCGTGACACAACTACTCATTACACATCACGCTAGCTTGCAGAGTGACATTCGGTCAGACTTTGAGATTCTGAAGTTTAATAAAGTCTCCTTTCCTATTATAGGATCAATTTTGTTTGAAGTTGAACTTGGCTTATTTATTTGTAAAATAAAAGAAGGCGAGATAGCATAGAACACTGGGATGGAAAGCTGAGCGCCGGTGGGAAATGAAACCAAATGAAAACAAACAGAGTCAGTTGATAACGACCAAAACCTCCGGTCATTCTCAAAAGATCGTCAACATGATACTTAATGTTAATCGACTTTTCTTCCCCAATATGCATTAACAAAGTATCAACTAACAAAAAGCCCTCTTATCCTCACTTTGCCGTCTACAACGCGAAATGAAAGTCTGTTACCCCCTGGGTACAAGCCAACTTACGCGATTATGATTGTTAGTCACGTCGAATCCGTCGACGTGCAACGTCAGGTTCATCAATTAACTCCTTAAACCCTGACTGACATCAGTATCCATATTCTCCAAGCTGTTCTCCATACATTTTCTAGGCTGACAAGGAGAAATATTTTTAACAATTAAGAGCTTCTTTAATTGGTGATCATTTCCTTTATTCTTTTGACCTTAATATGTGATTCAGGGGTGATAATGTGAGGAGAAACTGGGTCCTAGTCACTCTCAGGGGTCATAGGGTTATGTAGGCCGCTCTTCTCGACTGTATTATTTTATTTAGCAAAATATTTCCTTCACTGATAAACGATTGTTTCTTGAATAAGGATATCAGGGAAGATTCGATAGGAGTGGCATTTGATCAAACAATAAGTCTGAAACTTTACATACCCATCACAGGGTGTCATGTGTCGTTTGTGGTAGTTAGCCTCACGGCCTTTAGGCTCTTAGCTCTTACTTGTTATATTTCTCCTGTCCCTTGAGATTCGAAGTAACTGACTAGTGTTTAACTTGTATAGGCTTTGGTGAGGACGTTAGACTTCAATTTCTCTATAGATATCAGTGGTTCGTTTATTGTGTGATTATATTGAAGATGATGAGATGACCTAAAATGCCATAGACTGTGTCTAACTTATACAGGGATTTTAGCTCATGTTTTTCAGTAATAGCGCACGTGGGGCTTTTAGGGTTATTTGATAACTTAATTTTTTTTCTGTTTCCTGGTATAAATTTTGCAATTATCAATTGCATCATCAATCTGCTTTGAAGTAAGAGCTCTATCATAAATTTGTAAACAGGCGATGCGTCCGCGATAGTTTCTTTTATCTCCGACTCGAGCTCCCATTCTGATTGGATAGTTAGTAGCCAGTCTAATACGGCCTATGTGCTTAAAATCTTCGAACTTTCCATTAATCCACAGGCCAGCATTTCCCGTTTTTTGATCATATGTTGCACCGATAAAATTCCATCGATTTGGTGCAATCTTAGTGCTTTTCAATGGCTGTATGGATTTTTGATTTTTTCTGTCTACAAAGTGAACAAACAGTTTTCTCGGTTTTGCTAACCAAAGATTTGTTCCCCACCCGTCCCTCTTAAAGTTAAAGATGGGTCCCGCCTTTTCAGGGAATATCCAGGCCAGTATTGTCAATGAATCCTTTGTATCCAGTTTACCATTGTTTGGAAACTCGATAAAACTGTCTGGTGCTCCAAGAAATGACAGAGAGCCACCTTCTTTATTATAAGGCCCTTGAGCAGTTGTGACGTAGCTTTTCACGCCAGCAAGGTTTCCGCCAATCACATCTGTTGCCCCGTACCTCTCGTTCAATGGGAACAGCGCAACTGGTCGGACGTTAGCTAAAGTATACGAGACAGATAAAGAGTATGATTCAAGTGTAACATGTTGAAGCAGCTAAAGGGAAAACTCCAAGTGCCAGAATGTTTTGATTACTATCACGGCTTAGTTACCAAATTTTTAACTAGGTAGGCTGTCAAAAAGCCATCACTCACTGAGCTAGGGTCACAACTATATGAATGATTAGCAAATAAAGTTTAAGGCGTAGCAATGAGTTTTGATCTCGTATCTTAAGCTTTCTTGTCAAGGTGAACCTTTCATTTTAGTACCTCAAAATCTTTAAAATACTTTCTCTGATATAAAAAACTTACCTGAAGTGTTACCGGAAATAACATCTTTAACAAGATTATCCCACACATCTGTGCCTTGCTTCGGCGTCAGAACAACTTTTCCGATCTTTACCATCTTCTTTCCACTTGAGATAACTTTGCTTCCCGAGCTTGAGCTTCCACCTTTCGCGGTTATTATTCTAGAAGAACTACTTCCTGAACTAGAACTGCTACCTCCACCTTTCATTGATATCGGGGAGCTACCGCCTACAATGGAACCGCTACTTCTACCTTTAATTGACATCGAAGAGCTTCCTCCTGAACTAGAACTGCTACTTCCAGCGCTCGAGGAAGTCCCGCCAACTTTTAATGTGCTTCCTCCTCCAGTAAAGCTGCTCCCTCCACCTGTAATCACACTGGATCCTCCTGTGGTTGATCCAACAGTTACACCTTGTGAGGAGCTTCCCCTTTCACTGGAGCCTCCTGTGCGTGATCCACCTGTTACTCCTTGTGAGTAGCCACCGCCTCCAGTCGAAATGCTCCCTCTGCCTACCGTTTCCATGAAGGTTCATGGAAAAGAGGAAAAATAGAAGCATATGTCCGTCTTATATTTCCCATACTTGCTAACTGAATTTGTTTCTCCATGCAGCAACAAAGACACACTTCATGCATACTAAAAAAAATTTCAAGCCAACTGAGAATCTTTGATGGGGTTGTGTTTTATAACGTTTTTTCTTTTCGCCGTCGCAACACGAAGTTTGCTTTGTAGAATAGAGACAATTTATTAGATATCATACTTTAAATATCAGGAGAATACACTGAGGGAGATAAGAAATGGCGGTATAGGGAAGTCAGTGCAACTGTAAGACGTTGTATCTTAACGTTCAAAGACAGGAAATATGTCGGCTATTTATGTTTATGCAGAAACCATAACTATGTTCTACTTAAACTTACGTGAGGCTTGAACTGTTCCTCCTGCCGCTGATGGATTAAATTATAAATCATTATTTATAATAATGTTATATTTATAATAATGTAATATAAGACGAAGGTATACGAGAGAATAACTTGTTAATTTGAGAAAAATCCAAAATACAAGTCACAAAGAAAACAAATACTTAAGCAAATCTTTTCGTAACTCATGTTCGATTCCTTGAATGCAGCGAAAGCTTTGGTTTCTAGCAAGGCTACCTTTTTAGCTAAACAGCCCAATTATCGAAAAATCTTGGCTATGATAAAGAATGGCCGAAATCAGCTTGAACATCTGAGAAACTTTATAGACTGCGGTTAGGTTGATGTTGACAAATAATACACCAAATAGACACTGTTTTAACGCTCAGTCGAAGTCCTAACATTAACATGAGAAGATGTTTATACAGAGATTGACTTTAAGCTGAAGACGTATTTATGCGAATATCTTCGTAAAACAGTTACTGAAAAAAAATGTTGATCAAACTAAGCCAAAGACTCACCTTTACAACAAGTGTCTACGACGGAACCCACCAGGGATCCCAGCGCATCAAACTCCGCTTTGAACATGTGCCGTGAATTTGGGTCGGTAGCTATATTCCCTAGCTGTCTACTACAGTATCTATTACCCATTCCTATGGTAATGACTGTGACTCCTGAGTCTCTGAGCTCCTGAGCAGGAGCAGAAAATCTATCTGTTGACTTGCTGCCAGCCAAAAGACAAGCTATATTAGGAACACCAGGACGTGCGCTGGTATCAAAGAGAGCATTCTTAGCTTTCAAGAGAGCTTTCCCAATCATTGTTCCACCGCCTGGATACTGGATTCCATCAATTGCTGAAATCACCTCTGATTGGGTGTAATGCTGGTCGAATCCTGACACAACCTGCCAACAACAGTTCAATCTAAGCAGTGTTAGCATTGTATAATACCATACCACACTTGTAAAAATACAATCTCTCTTTCTGACCAGTGACGCAGACCTTTCTAAGGTTCGTTCCAAAAATATACGCGTAATATGTGAAAAGCTAAGGTTGCCATGTTTTTGGCCTCGGAGTCTGTCTGTTTTGAAAGTTACTGTAAAGTGTTTTACAACCGCTTTGATTGTTCAAGAAATACATGAACTGGTAAAATTATTATTCTCTGGTATTTTCTTCCAGTAGAATCGGATGGATGGCTTCGTGCAAATCAGATTTGATACAAAAAAATGTAAAACAATTTGCAGGGATTTAAAAGAAACCCATGACGATGGAAAGATTCTACCTTCGCGTTATCGTCAAAAACAATGACACCAACATGTGTTCCTTCACTAGAGACAGCAAAACGTCTGGTAAGATCTTTGACAAAATTCAGGATATTTTGAAACGTTCCTTGCCCGTTTCTTTCTATGCTTCCTGATCCATCGATAATGAAAGCAAGGTCAGCCTTTGCGTTACATTCTACAAAAAGAGAAAGAAAGTATGATTTTGATGTTTGCTTGCGTCATAAGTCACTGGGATGCTGTAGAAAGAGAGGCTTATAAGTTCTCAGCGTTTTTGAGCAATTTTTCTCTGCTCATCTATCATGAACTAAGAAGGCATTTTCATTTTTTGTCTGCTTCCGAATTCAACTGCGAAATTTCCTCAGGAACTACCACTTGGTTTTAATTGAAGCCCTGAGTATAATTTTTGAAGGGCTACCATCTAAAATAAAATTGAAATAAACTAAAATAGAACTGACTGGTTTCGGAAAAATTGTCATCGCTGATAACAGTCTGAATATCTTGCGACGGCCTACCTCCTCTAAATGAGCTGCTTCCTCCACCTGTAATCACAGCTGATCCTCCTGTGCTGGACCCGCCAGTTATACCTACACCTTCCGTGTCCAGAAAGGTTGAAACAAAGAATCACTCTCAGCATATGATCAGAACATGAAACACCTCAGTCGGTGTCATGCAGTTTGGGTATTTACAACTATAGAATACTTGACTATAGTAAGAGAGAGGCCCACTAAATAAGCCAGATCCCAGATACAGCAACCGTCAGCAAGGGTATGACCTTTATCAATACTTAAGGGGCCCCGTACCTCCTCCAGTAGAGCTGCCTCCTCCAGTAGAGCTACCTCCTCCTGTAGAGCTACCTCCTCCAGTAGAGATGCCTCCTCCAATAGAGATGCCTCCTCCAGTAGAGATGCCTGCTCCAGTAGAGATGCCTCCTCCAGTAGAGATGCCTCCTCCAGTAGAGATGCCTCCTCCAGTAGAGATGCCTCCTCCAGCAGAGCTGCTTCCCCCACCTGTAATCATACCGGCTCCTCCTGTGCTCGATCCACTCGTGATCCCGACACCTATCGACGTTCATTAAAAAAACCTCATCCGCTTATGATTAATATATTATGACTCTGATGATGACGCTCAGTTTATTGAAACGTCAGTCACCATATACCGACGACAGTCCTTCTCAGGAATGCACTCACTGGGACTATTACATGTTGAACATCATCAGAGATTTTTTGAGCACTAACAATTATGCATTAATCATTAATGGCAGGAAAAAAAAAAGTTCCGATGGTAGTAAGAGAATGATCGAAGGCAGCTAGAAGTTTTAATTGCAATCATTTCCAAGCAATTGTGGGGTGGCATCCTGCTAAAATATTACTGCTTCATTCGGAGGAATTCTCTCATACCTTGTGAGGAGCTACCGCCCCCCGCTGAGCTGCTTCCTCCGCTTGTAATCACACCAGATCCTCCTATGCTTGACCCGCCAGTTATGCCTACACGTGAACCATGATGAATAAGAATCACTTTCACTTTCAAAAAGAACGCTACAAACTGTCTTCGCAAGTTTGAGTACTTGCAATTGCGGAGCAATCAGCGACTGTTAGATAAGGACTGCTGACTCTTTTATCAGATAAAGCAAAGACATAATAGCTAATCGCACATGCAGACTCAAATTTTGCTTTTGATATTAGTTTGTTCTTACGAACAAAAAGGTGTTTGTCATGCAAACCCTTATGAAAATGTATTTCATTTAACAATATCTAATTTCCATACCCTTTCCTATATATAGGGATATAGAACATGGTGAAAATGCGTAGACAATCTTGTGAGTTGACGTTACAAACGAGACCAAATTATTTTATAACGCTTAGCTATGCTTGACATATGGGAAAATTATGATCGACCTAAAGTCTAACAAGAGGAGGCGATAAGACTGCGAGTTATACGTGTTTAATAAACGAATTGAAGTAACTTGCGTGGGGTATTCTCTGTGATCAAACTGAGGCAATACCTTTCGATGGATTTTGTGTTAACGATCCTCCCGCTCCTGCAAGAGGACAAATTTATAATTAATCCTTATCTATCATGTACTTACTGTGACGTAGGGCTCTCACTCGTTACTACTTGAGAATTGATTATAATATTAAGGAATATTTTTCATGTCAGATAAAAAGCATGAAAATATCTAAGGATAAGTAATGTCTTTGATGCTTGAAAAATGTTGAGAAACGTTGAGAAATATTGATAGTTAAATGAGTCTCATCACTTCATTTTGATTTATTTATGACTGATACCACTTGAAAACTTAAACTGAATGCGATTTAAGGCAGCACTGAGACCTTCCTTAGCTCCCCCTCAAACAAAATCAAGGAAAGTGGGTGGTTATGTCGTTGATGTGCTAATTTATCCAGTAAATAGGATACCCATAATGCCCTAACTGACATATTTTTAAATCTGATATTTTTTTTGAGACTAACGCCCTTGTCAACTGTTATTAGCCACCTAAATCGAAAATACTTCGAGGATGTAAAGCCAATTTAAGGACACTTATAGCCGGTTTAAGGAAATTTTACGAGACGAGTTTCTCACTTACCGTCACATGCCATCTTTTTAATTTTCGGGAGTATCTGATCCAAATCATCAAAATCGCCTGTTATAACATGTGTAGCATCTGGGTCGGTTGCCATGGCGTCTAACTGGTCCTTGTCGTACCGGGTTCCAACTCCAAAACAAAAGATCGTTACTCCCATGTCTCGGAGCTTCTTAGAGGGTTCGTCCACATAGTCCTGTTTGTTCAATTGACAGACTTATTGATCTGTTTCATGGTTCAAACCAGTGAACATAAAAACAAAGAGAACGAGAACAAAAAGCTCTAAAAAGAAAAGATTCTTTAAGTTAGGCTTGAGTTCTTGTGAAGGGGTCAGATTATTCTAAATCTTATGACAAACGAATAAGATATTTCTTTATCAAAAAGGAATGTTACTCTAAGACAACTTAAGTAGCTTTAAGGACAAGCTGGCTATCGGGAAGCACCTCACTATTGACTCACATAAAATTAGTATTCGTTGTTTTCAAGAAGTTTACTGATGTTTTTCTTTTTCTTTTTCTTTTTTTTTTTTTTTTTTTGGGGGGGGGGGTTGCACGTTCAGAAACATAATTACTTTAGAGACAATTTTATTATCAAAAATTCTGACCTGAGATGCTCCATCAGTCATAACAATAAGGACATCCCTGACTCCCTGCCTTTCACTGATTTCAAACAGTCCAGTTCGCACTAGATCGAGGCCTATTCCAGTGTATGTGCTTTTTGACGGATACGGAATCTTGTCAATAGCGTCTATTATTGAATTTGGATCAAAATATTTCTCGAAATTGAACACGACCTCGGCTGTGCTCGAAAATAGTACCACTCCTACATGTGAACCATCTTCTGCGATGTTGAAGGATTTAACAAAGTTTCTGAGGAATCTCAAACACTTTTTGAAATTTCCTCTCCCAATACTTCCAGAGCCGTCCAACAAGAAAGCTATATCTACTTTGGCTTGGCACTCTTAGGATGGAATGAAAAATAATGTTAAAAGGCTTTGATATATGATACAGTGGCGATATGATGAAGTGATATTAAGTTAAATTAGGATGCTATGTGGCCTGAGATTGTAAAGAGTGATATCGCACCACATCTACAGAACGATTTACCATGTCAATTTTACTTCCTTCTCCAAATTTCACTGACAAATGAGTAATCTCTAGGCGTTAAGTCTCCAGTACATGTCACAAATGTGTTGTATTCGTAGGTTAAAGTTTAACTATCCTCCCATGTGATCTTATGGTTTGGTTGATGACGCTGTACTTACTTGTGCCTGAGCTGGGAGCCGGAGGTCGTGCAGGACCCGTAACAGTGCCTGAGGATGCTGTAGGGATAAAAATTTAGGAGTCCATTTGACATAGCCTTCTAACTCGCCACCTATGAGTGAAATACATCTCCACAATCAAAGAGTTCATACTCCCGCCTGTCTATGACGATAAGGAAATTCTTGCTGATTTTACTCTATTTAATCTCACATGGTTCCTGAATTATTTCATCAGAGATTAAGGGACGAAACCAAAGATCTTTTAGTTCGAAACGTTATACCGAGCAAATTTCGGTTCAGCTCAATGAACAACAGATAAACTTCAGCCGCAGTTGAATGGCTTCAGTCAGTGTGGACATCTGACACTCGCGACCGACCTGAGGCAGATATTGAGAAATAATACGGTGGGGAAATACTGGAGTGTTTGTAATGCAAAGTCAGGGCCCCAGATTAAGCAAGAAAAAACTTTCTGAGGTTCTGAGGTTACCAACGAAGATTGATCACCAAAATACGTAGAAAGCTTACCCTTACGACAAGTGGCCACGACGGGACTCACTAAGGACCCCAGGGCATTGAAATCTGCTCTAAACATGTGCTGTGAATATGGGTCGGTGGCTATCGCTCGAAGCTGTCCAAGGTCGTAATATTTACCCATTCCTATACTAATACAAGTGGCTCCTGAGCCCTTGAGCATCTGAGCAGAAGAACCAACGTCATCTGTTGACCTGCTGGCAGTTAAGACACAGGCAATGTTGGGAACACCGGACCTTGCACTTGCAGCGAAGAGGGAGTCTTTCGCTAACATGAGAGCTTTTCCGGTCATTGTTCCTCCTCCCAGATACTGGATTCCATCAATTGCTGCAGTCACTTCTGCTTGGGTGTAATACTGGTCGAGTCCCGCCACAACCTGCCAAAATTCAAGTTAAGAATCAGTGTCAACTACTTTAAGTAACCAGTGACTTCAGCTTTGGCTAAGTTTATTCACTGTTAAGGCAACGTTGTTAAGTTGTTCCACAAATTTACGTTAGAGCCTTTGAAAAGTGGAACTGATCATATAGTGACATAAAAATTTCCATGGCGATGGCTCGCATTGCTTTAGAAGACTTTTCTTTGCGGTGACTTTTTTCACTTCCTTTAATCTAATCGGATACATGACTTGATACAGATAAAATTCAAATAAAAGTTCGAGACAATAAATTTGAAAATTTAATTGATTAAAAAACATTGACGAGAGATCCAACCTTTGCTTCATCGCTATAAGTAATGATGCCGATATGAGTTCCTTCTTTGGAGACATCAAAACTTCTAGCAAGATCTTTGACAAATTTCAAGACTTTTGCGAACGTTCCTGGTCCGTTTCCTTCTATGCTTGAAGAACATTCGATGATGAATCCAATATTTAGCTTTGCGTTAAGCCCTAGGAAAAAGAAGAAAATCCGTATGATTATACTTTTTCACTGTTTACTAAGTTGGTAAGTTTCATAGTTTTAGACGTCGTTACAGACTACAGGCATGAGTCAGATGATTCAAGATGTACAATTTCTTCAACTCCGATGCCGTTGTGTTTTAGAGTAACTGATGTAAAGAGATAGTGTGTTTGTTATATATCTCTGCCTTCAGTTGTGAAGATCTTCAAGGAATTCCTCGCATCCGAATGAATTTATATAACTTAAATGGACCTTCTGCTCGCAGAGCTTGGGGAAAGTCGATCTGTTATGCCGGAAGTGAGTCGATCATTATATGAATTTAATGAGGTTAGCGATTTGAGCAGGTGCTAGCAACGTATGGTCCGCTAGGATTGGATCGTTCTCCAGTTTCTGTGGCCTGACTTGTTTAGCTTGCTCGTGAAGAAGGAAAGTTGATGAACAAAGACTACGTCTGAACACATTATGATCTCATTCTCGAGGATCATCTTTATACTGATGGAGAATAGGAAGAGATATTTATTGGTTACAATCCAATTTCACCATCAAATCTGTGTTACCTGTTAAAGAACACAAACCGTTAGCTTGGTGGGTGGTGAAGTCATATACAAATGTCTTAATGCAGGTATAACGTAATAGGTCTTAGGGGCAAATCGGCGTGTGAATCCTCAGTGACCCTAGATTTAGATTCAAGGCAGCACCTCGTGTTGAATTCTGATCTCGTTATAAAGAACCTTGCGAGACGTTAACTTTCCTTCATGGTTTTGCAACGTTTCAGGCCACTAGCGGATGAGATGATCTTTGACTGTTCATTTCGATACATTTTCCTAACTCTGGGCACCAGTGGCTTTGAAATGATCGTGATCTTCACTGTAAAATACGCAAAGGTAAGAGAGGAATTACAGAAGTCTTCGCCCTAACTACACCAACACGGATAGAGGGATGACAATTCCGGAAACGTGAAATGCCATAAAAAATGCCAAATGCCAAAATGACGCAAGCCGTATCAGAGCGAACCGCCGAGCAAAAAACCAAAGATCAAAATGCATCATTCATTGCCATCGAAAACCAACCGCTGTCAACGAAACGTTATGGTTCATAAGGTGAAGGGCAAGCAGTAAAATCCAACACCTGAAACGTGGCGAATTTTATCAGAAAGGATTACATGGTATAACAAACCATAAAATATCATATTTCGTGTATTCAAACGCGAGAAACCACCACCTTTTTTTCACGACAAATGCTTTATGTCTTTATTTCATTGAACGCTATTTCGTTAGCGTGGGACTGAAAGCGATCTCAACCACTTGTTTATTCGGAGAAGTCAACGTAGTAAACGGGGCGTGGAGCACGGTGAGTAAATGTGTGCGGAGCTTAAGTATTTGATCGTATCTGAACGAGTGACAATTTGTGTCCCATCACAACGGACCGGCGCAAGAAAATGGACTCATTTTACTACTTGCGCGCTTCTATTGGAACATTTTTTCTAGGTTCATTTTACACCTGCCGAGGACAAAGGGTGATATTTCAGCGTTTCACATGAATGAAGGTCTCTTTGTGGACTGATTTACCTCATTTACCGATTGTAAATCATCAGCGACTTATTCATAACTACTATTAACTGACACTATCACAAGAAATAATTATCAGTCAAGAATATCCTTAAATTTAAGTACAGTAGGTAACAAGTGATTAAGTAAGTAAAGACAAATATTTAATTATATTTGATCCATTTGTACGTTATGGTACAAACATGTTAAATGCAATGACCTCATGATTCTATTACGTAATGAATGCGTCTACAGCCCCCTTTTGTAGCGTTTACAATTGTTTTTAGCATCATTTATCTGCTCTGAAGTAAGAGCTCTATCATAGATTTGTAAACAGGCAATGCGCCCGCGATAGTTTCTTTTATCTCCGACTCGAGCTCCCATTCTGATTGGATAGTTAGTAGCCAGTCTAATACGGCCTATGTGCTTAAAATCTTCGAACTTTCCATTAATCCACAGGCCAGCATTTCCCGTTATTTGATCATATGTTGCACCGATAAAATTCCATCGATTTGGTGCAATCTTAGTGCTTTTCAATGGCTGCATGGATTTTTGATTTTCTCTGTCTACAAAGTGAGCAAACAGTTTTCTCGGTTTTGCTAACCAAAGATTTGTTCCCCACCCGTCCCTCTTAAAGTTAAAGATGGGTCCCGCCCTTTCAGGGAATATCCAGGCCAGTATTGTCAATGAATCCTTTTTATCCAGTTTACCATTGTTTGGGAACTCAATAAAGCTGTCTGGTGTTCCAAGGAATAACAGAGAACCATCCTCTTCCTTTTCAGGCCCCGGTGCTGTTGCGACGAAACTTTTTACACCAGCAAGGTTTCCACCAATCACATCTGTTGCCCCGTACCTCTCGTTCAATGGGAACAGCGCTACTGGTCCGACGTTAGCTAACAAGAACGAAAAAGATAACGTGACACAATTCAATGGTTAACAGCAATATTTTCCTCTGGGCAATAGTTCACAGTTTATCGCCATGTGTCACATGCGGCGTGCGGTTATCAACAGAAATATCAGTGTAAACTGGGTGGAACATTTTCATGAAATGATTCTTTCCAAGTTGTTGCCAAAATCTCTCTAACTCACACCCCAATACTCAAAATGTTAATTAATTATGTTGAAAATCCCAATAAGTCATGCCTCTGCCCTCATCGCCCTCGCTATATTCCCTTCTACAATGACGAACTAACAAAATGACCAAGTTGTTAGTCAAGTTGATAGAGCACTACACAGGCATCGTACAGGTCATGAGTTCAATTCCCGTACAAGCCCAATTTTTTTTCAGCTCTCATCCTCGACAATCAGTGTACTTCAGACCTTTTACGTGCACGGGTTTCATCTGTCGTAACATACTTTCTGAGAGCGTCGATCACTTTTTTTAAATTTTACAATTGAGATTGAATTAGCATAGTTGTTTACCTTGGCATATTATCCTCCTAATTTCCCTGATCGTCTTGCCAAGCTTTGTGGCATCACCGGTAAGCACGTGACCAGCATCCGGGCTTGTGGATATGTCATCAAGTTCTTTCTTATCGTACCTGTTTCCAATTCCAATACACAAAACATTAACTCCAGAGTCTTTGAGCACCTTTGAAGGTGCAAGTATATCTTCAGTTGATTTCCCTGATGTTAATACGATCAAAATATGCGGCACGTTTGGTCTTGAGGTGATATCAAACAGTTGGCTCTTCGCAAGTTTGAGTCCAGCGCCAATGTTGGTACTCGCACCTGTATACTTTAGGCTATCTATGGCATTTTCCACCCTTTTTATATCGAGATATGTTTTGAAACTCAGAGCAACTTGAGAGTTTGTAGAGAATACAACAAAACCAATGTGAGTCTGCAGAGGATTGATGACAAACATGCTGGAAATGGCTTTGGCGATGGCCAACGCTGTTTCGAAGTTTCGTTGTCCCTTCTCGTTTTTGTTTCCAGAGGCATCGACGAGAAAAGCTAAGTCAACTTTGTCCCTGCATGCCCCAAAATCTGTTGAAATAGACAATTGCCCGCAGCGCTTATATGAATGAAACATTTCCACTCAAACTGTTAAGCTACCTTATCTGGCATCAGAGGAAAACAGCGAATGCCAGTAAACTAGGCTGTCCTGGAATAATGAAGTGTTAAATTCATTGTCACAAGTAAAGGATTTTAAACAAAACTTCATTCTTTAAAAAGTAACTAGCTGAATTGGTCACCACACCAGCACTCATACCTTTCTTGACTAGCTGACCGCTTCGTTATCCTTACAAACAATTTTATTATAGCTTACCTACAATACTGCTGGAAATGTCGTCATTCTTAGCAAGATCATCTTCTGTACCCCATACATCAGTGATGTCGATCGGGTCTCCTTGTTCCGGTGTAAGAACGAGTTTTCCGATCTTTATAGGCTTCTTTTCATTAGAGATAACTTGGCTTCTCGAGCTTGAACTTCCACCTTTAGCTATCATTACTTTAGAGGAATTTCCACCTGAAGTAGAAATGTTACCTCTGCCTTTAATTGATATTGAGGAGCTTCCTCCGGAAATAGCACTGCTTCCATTAGAGCTCGAAGAGCTACCACCTGAACTAGAACCACTGCTTCCGTCTTTGATTGATTTTGAGGAGCTTCCACCGGAAATAGAATTGCTTCCTCCGGAGCTCGAGGAGCTACCACCTGAACTAGAACCACTATTTCCATCTTTGGTTGACATTGAAGAGCTTCCTCCGGAAGTAGAATTGCTTCCCCCAGAGCTCAAGGAGCTACCATTTGAACCGGAACCGCTACTTCCACCTTTGATCGACGACAAAGAATCTCCACCTATTGTAGAGTTACTGCTTCCAGTACTCGAGGAACTACTACTTGAGCTCGAACCGCTTTTGCCACCTTGGATTGATGTTAAAGAGGCCCCTCCTGAAATGGAACCGCTACCTACCGAATTCGAGGAACGAGTTCCATCTCCAACAGAACTTCCTCCACCATGGATTACACTAAGACCGGCCATGCCCGGTCTTCCACTCGCTGCAATTGATCCAGAACTGCCCTCACCTACTGTTTCCATAAAGAATCACTTTCCTCTTCGATTATTTCGTGAAACAACGTCTGTGTCAGTCTCGGTAAATACAGTAACGAAGTCATCGTCGACGGATGAAAAAGAGCTCGCTGAGTTGATCGGTTTTCGACACAAGAACAGTTGACGTGTTATGATTACGAGTAGAATTAAAACTTATACTGTTCAAAATTCAGGTATTTTACCGTAGGTACTGTAAGTACTGTACTGTGATGAGAAGTCACAACGTAAGGTGTTTAAAGCAAGGTTAAGTTGTACAGATGCAAATTCAAACTTATGGAGATAAACCTGAAATTAAAATTGTATCTCGTGGGAGTATAGGGTAAAACGTGAACATCGCAGTTTTTTCTGTCAATTTTGTAAAACGTGAGGTTGTTAGGATTATGAAAAATTAAAATCCTTCAAAATGTCATTTAAAAGGTAATAAATATGGTTCGTGTAATAATAGCTAATTGTGATACTGTTTTTGCTTAATGTGTAGCATAAACGCAAGAAATATAACACAAAAAGTTTTTAAAATGCATTGCAAGCGATATAAAATAGTTTAAATAAAAGTAACGGACATACTGTACATAAGATGTTTGTTACATGAAGTACTTCATGTGAAATTCCTAACTTGAAGAAACTAAAAAAATTTACCTCTCGAAGGACTTTGCGATAAAGATCCTCCTGCTCCTGCAGAAGAACACATTTATAAACTTAAGTCAATTTGTCTCACAGTAGGTAACTAGAAACCGCAGCTCAGTCTCCTTGAAATCCAATAAGTGAGTTCGCATGTTATCAAAAGGCGCAGTAAGTAGACAAATTAGAATCGATATGGAAGCAGTGCGTAATAATTAGAACTTCTAGGGTTAAGAGACTAACCGTCACATGCCATCTTTTTAATTTTCGGGAGTATTTGATCGAGATCATCAAAACCGCCTGTTACAACATGTTTAGAGTCTGGATCGGTTGCCATTTCATCTAACTGGTCCTTCTTGTACTGTGCACCAACTCCGAAACAAAATATCGTCACTCCCATGTCACGGAGCTTCTTGGAAGGGTCCTGTATGTCATCCTGTTTGGTTGAGCAAGAAATTATCTTGAAAGATTGTTCTTTCTCTTTTGTATATTTGACGCATGTTATGAGCTAGAAGAAAAATGCTTCGAAACGACAACTTACAAGTTTAAAAACTACAACTGAGTCAGGAAAAGATTGTCTGCTTCATCAGATCATGAACTTAATAAAAAAATTCTTCGTACAAATTTGATCTCAGGGACGACCTCACTAACCACTCAATTCCAGGTGAGCCGGCATATTTTTTCAATACTCCTGTTTTTTATTCCTTTTCTTTTTCTGACGGCTGGGTGTGCTTACAGATGTGTAATCAATGCAAGGATTCACACTGAAATAACAGAACAACCTTCGTTTTTCATAAAATTGTAATTTACAGAACTTGAAAACAATCCGAAGATCAAAAGCTCGTGAGATTGAGGACAAAATTGATCATTACGTTTCGTCGCGTGTGTTTTTCCTGTGAGAAGCCTACAAAACTATTGTAAGTGAAAAATTCTGACCTGAGATGCACCATCGGTCAGGACAATGAGGATGTCCCTGACTCCCTGCCTGACACTGTTTTCAAACAGTCCAGTACGCACCAGATCAAGGCCTGCTCCAGTGTATGTGTTTTTAGCCGGGTATGGAATCTTGTCGATAGCGTCCATCATTGATTTTGAATCAAGATATTTCTCAAAATTGAACATGACCTCGGCAGTTTTAGAAAAAAGTACCACTCCTACATGTGTGCCATCTTTGGCGATGTTGAATGATTTAACGAAGTTTTTAAGGAACCTTAGGCATTTTTTGAAATTCCCAGGTTGCTGGTAATCAATACTTCCGGAGCCGTCCAACAGGAATGCTATGTCTACTTTGGCCTTGCACTCTTAGGGAAAGAAAAAAATTCAAAAAGCTTAAAATGCTAAGTTTAAGTTATGGCGGTGAATTATTTTATGGAGAGAAAATTAGCCTTAGCCCTCGGCTTTTGCCATTAATTGGGATCTGGTCGAAATACAGTATTAAGCAGACCACCATTCTGAGGCGGTCATTTGTAACCTCACGTGGCTTTAAGCCATTGACAAGGAAGGTTCAAGGAAGGTTCCCTAAGAAAACATTTTTGATAAGATGAGAGTAAACGAATTAAGATTTAGCTGTTCGATGTATCAAAATCAATCTTATATCTTTTCATATCATATATAACATAGGATTCGACGTGACACCATAGTTTGTGCTAAGTTGAATATTAAAAGTTACATTGATTTTAAAGATAGATGCCGTTGGTTGTGTTTATGGAAAAACTTTCATGTAAACGCATTCAGTAGTAAATCCACTTACTTGTTTCCACAGTGGAAGGAGGTGGACGGCCTTTACTCGCGCCTAGGGGTGCTGTGAAAAAGTAATTTGTTAATATCATCCGCAAAAATTGTAGATCTCTTGGTATATAACGAGTGCAAGACTGAACAGTCTCGCCTTAAAGTCCTGTCTTATATTACAAGGTACATGTACCGTCGAATATGTAGGATATCCCAATTCAGTCAAGAGATTTTTCTCAAGCTCAGGTTAGATAAATACAAAAATAATTCCCATATTATGATTGGGAAATAGCTGTCTTGATATAGGACCGACAGCTAAGTGTGATTATTAGCAACAATATGCATTTTTTTTAGTCAATCGCCCAATCACGGTTCTCGTTTTTAGTCTCACACGTTCGTGGCATTTCTTCCATAACTGCCGTTGAAAGGTAAAACTTGATGATTTTTCAGTGGAGATGCGGAAACACCATTTCCTTAATGAGGAGTTTATACGTCAAAGTTATCATGTGCCCCACCGTTCGCCCATTTGAGAGAAGTTGTAGTTGAAGTTTATGGCCAAAGTAGCTCTCTACTATCAATAATGGCGCTGAAACTTACGCGGTGCCTGAATTGTTCCTCCAGCAGCTATAGGATAAAAATAATTTTTTTTTTTGAAAGACAAGTGTTAAAGTTAATCATGTCTTTGAAATACGAAGAAAAATAACGATGAATTTTCGCATGTAAATTATGATTTGAACAGCTGAATTATCAAAACGTAGTGTAGATTGAACAGATTAACACTTTAGATTGTCTTATGAGAGAAAACGTATCTTTGGTAAAATCAAGGTGGAGAAAAGTTTGCTTTGTAGGTGGTTCAGTTTAAGTTATCAACTAAAAAACTTGGGTGTAAGCTTAATGGCTAAAAATTAGTGTAGACGTATGAGAAAACTTGCAGACCAGCACTTCAGGCAGATCACAAATAATACAGGAAGGAAACAGTATTTCAATGGATAGCGAGAGAGAATAGGATCAACAGCTTACGTCAGCTACTTATAACGAATTATGACCAAAGTACAAGAACTGAGAAACAGAACACCTACCCTTACACCCAGTGTCTACTATGGAATCTACCAGGGAACCCAGTGAGTCAAATTCTGCTTTAAACATGTGCTGTGAATCTGGGTCAGTAGCTATCTCTCGAAGCTGTTCAAGATCATAGTCTGTACCCATTCCTATGCTAATGACAGTGACACCTGAATCTCGGAGTTTTTGAGCCGGAGTTCCAATGTTATCTTTTGACTTCCCGTCGGTTAACACACAAGCGATGTTGGGGACACCGGACCGAGCGCTGACTGCGAATAGAGCTTCATTAGCTTTCAAGAGAGCTTTTCCAGTGTTTGTTCCTTCATTTGGATACTTGATTCCATCAACTTCTGCCATCACTTCTGCTAGGGTGTAATGCTGGTCGAATCCCGACACAACCTGCAAAGGTTATGAATAAAAAGCCATGTCTTTCATTTGCAAATTATGTAAATTGACCACCGTAAAAAGTTTATAGGGCTAATTTTTCGAGCGTTAGCCCTTCGTCAGAGCGAATGTTTCATTCTCCTCTCGAGACTTTCCGGGCCTATAGCAGTAAATCCATTGGACTCTTCCCCGGTCATTGTGTTATGTTTTTATGTAAGACTTTCCACTCCCACAGTGCTTTGCTCCACCCACAGGCGTAGATGAGTATCGATAATAGCCTGGTAAACCAGATGGGATATTTGGGGGTAATAAGATCTTATAAGCCAGAGGCTGACTGGCATGTGTACTGAGGTGAGTGGCGGCAATGGGATATTGAGCTACAGCGTCAATTATCTCGTTTCATCATATTCAAAGCTAAGTCCTTAAGATATCGTAACCAGGCAGCAAGAGCACTATGGGTAATGAGTAACAACCCTAACACAAATCTTATAACTGACGAGCTAAATGAAGACTTCCAACATGAGATCCCACCTTTGGTTCAGTACTGTATACAATGAGACCAATATGTGTTCCGTCTTTGGAGACATCAAAACTTCTAATGATATCTTTGACAAAGTTCAAGACTTTTTTAAACGTTCCTGGTCCATTTTTTTCTATACTTCCTGATCCATCGATAATAAATCCGAGGTCGGCCTTGGCTTTACATTCTACGACGAGAGAAGAGGAATGGAATCATGGCGTTCAACTACGAAATATGTTATTGATGCTAGTGGATACAGATTTCCTTTACCGATCAACAATTTACAATTTTCTTTTCCAAATTTGATAAATTTTTTAAAATTAGCTGAATGTGCATTGTCAATTGATTCAGAGTGCTATTGTTTGATGTCTGATTTTTTTTGCTCCATACAGTTGCTTCTTGGTTGCTCCAGAGACCTTAGTATTAACCAATCCTTTTCATTTCAGTTTACAAATTATTTAGGGTAACTCCTTTATATTTTAAGGAAAAGCTGAGAAAACGAATCCATTTTACTTACCTGGAGCACTAAGACGAAGATTGCTACCAATTCGTCCGGATATGGTACCATTGGAGGGTTTTACACCGTTGGGTCCACTGGGTCCAACCCCGCCAGGTCCACTGGATCCAACTCCACCAGGTCCACTGGGTCCAACCCCACCAGGGATAACACCGCCGCACCCTCCAGTGGCATTCCCGGAAGGCTGACATGGGTTTCTACAGGCGGTCGCATTAGTGATGTTAGGACATCCTTCTGTAAGCTTCCCCTCAATCACACACCCAGCTCCCATGTCAATACAGCCTCCAGGAGCCACTCCTTGTGCTGGTGCAGGGCAGGGTGCTCCCGCGATCTGCATACACCCGCTGTCAATGGTTATGCCCTGACTTCCGCACAGTGCTCCTCCCATAGTACCTCCTCCTCCACAAACCGAGTTTCCCATGGGCATACCTTGAGGTGGACAGGGAGTTCCTCCTCCTCCTCCCATGCTGGCACACCCGGCTGGTACTGTCTGGTTCACTTTTCCTTGGGCTCCAGTCCCTTAAGATAAAATAACATTACTTACTTGCTTGTCATTATTGATAGGAAATATAAGTAAGTCTCGCTGCGATGGATCTTGCGGGTAAGGGTTTCCAAGCATATTTAATAGATACAGTAAACGGTAATTTATTTGCGGATGTGGTTAACAACTTGAAGCACAGCAAGTATAAATGATTGACAATCGTTTTAGCTCAGCCCTCCTTCCCCCACTCCCTCCCTCTCAAATGGCGACCGCTTTTGATTTTTGTTTGAATCCCCTCTTTACAAATCGTGGATACGCCTCAGCTTCGTAGCTTGTGTTAACACGTCTGAAGAGTTCAAGAATCTTCACACTGCATCAGCTTTACCAAAGGCGAAAAACGATTAAAAATGATTTTGTAACTCACCATTTACCGTACTATTAGCTCCAGTGACTGCAAGAAATTAAAAAATTAGTATATCAACAAACAAACAAAAAGAATTTTGGAGCCTCATACAAATTGAAGATATACAAAAAGAAAACGAATATTTCGAAAAGAGCAGCGTGAGTAGTTGGGACATGCTACATTGTGTCGTTACAGTTCTGTATCATTTTTAATTCCCCTTTGCGTTTGGTGGTTTTACCAGTAGTTGATGAACCGTTCAAAAGTTTAACTTTCGTTAAGGGTGTGGATAATAGAGCTTAGCGCGTCAGTTGACGAAAAAAACTGACTCTTAAGTCTCAGCTTTTTTCAGCTGCGAAAGACTACTTATGGACGTGTTTTTTATAAACGTTAATTTAATTGTACAACTTAATGCAATTTTTTATGTTTGGCTTATTCTTATGTCTGTATGTTATCTATTCTCTGTGTATAACTTGGATCTCCTGGCAGATCATCATTGGCTCGTAACTCACTTGAGCAAAGTGATGGGAATGTTTACCGAAACTAGCGATTACTTTGACGTCGACGATGGAGGCAACAATTACAACATATATACTAAATAACCCTACCATTACAAGCTGGAATTGGAATTGGACATCCCCAGCCACACATTTGACCAGCACCAGTACTGCTAGGTAGCAGTATGCTGCATGTAGTATTTGAAGATGATGAAGAAGAATTTTTTGCACAAGGGTTGGGACAGGCTGTACTTGTGCCATTACTGGATCCGTTTTTGTTGTCCATTATCTTTGGTGGTTTTACCAATGGTTGATCATCTTCATCTAAAAAGCTGTGACAGACAGAACAAGGAATCTTACATCTGATGTGACTCAAAAATGTTACTTGAAGAGAAGCTCGGTTCTTGTATATAAAAAAGTCATATGGGAGAAGAGAAAAGGCAGCGTTGCCAATGGCTTAGAAGTTGATGTATAGTTTTGAGGATCGCCAAGTTCCAACTCTTATAGCAGGGACTGCATTTTGTATCAAAGTGAGTCACCCAATCATGAGGTACAAAGATGACGACAACATCCCCTCATGAGGCGCCTTATGGTAGGATTAGCTTCTTCTCATCACCGATTTAGATTTTTGGAGTCTTGATTCTAATCAACTTTAAGTATAATTGCCAAGATAGATATTTTAGCAGGGGGGCCACGTTACCGAGTTACTTTTCGATAAGTCCTGGTAATAGTAACAGTTAATCTCAGTTTAGTGCTGTCGGCTTATCTTCGACTGATTGTTATTAGAGTCTACCTGTACACTTCGTTACTCCACGGACCTCCTTCGCCGTCACCTAGCAAGGAGAAACAAAAGTTTAAGCAGCTTTGGAAGAGCCTTGGATTTGTACTACGAAACAAGCGCACGAACTGCAATTCTGCAAGCTGCTATCCTGGAACCTACATTGAAGTGGTAAATGATATGAAGAATGACCTGAGATTTATGTCACCGTGAAGTCATAAACCATAACTTGGTTACCTGCGCATTCCGTGCTCTGTCCATACTCTCTGTATGTGTTCTCTGCATTTTTCCCTCCAAAACACTGCCCTCCATTTTGCAAACCAAATATCTTTAAGTCATGTTCATCTGCTACCTCTGCACACTTCATCAAGGCATTCACTCTTGTCTTGTAAGGATGTTTAAGCTGGGAACTCTTTCCTTCTAAACTGTCCATTGCACGACGTTTAGTAGAATCTGCCCAACAGCCGATGCTCTTAAAAACTGCATCAAAAGATGACACAGTGAATGTTTCATTATTTTCTATTTTGTCTGAATCTGTATTTCCGTAATAGCCTAGACAGAAGCTATCATTAGGTCCAAGAACTTCCCCCAACATCTTTAGTCTTGTCTCTGCCACTTAGGTTGGGTAAATGAGATTATCTTTCAAATTATTTTTACATTTTAAGGTTAAAATTTCTTTTCTCAGAAATCGACGAAATAAAAAGGAATATGAACAAAATCCTTACATCGTCCTTTGATTTCAAATTTTTCTGTTCTATCGGGAGGTGTTGGTTTGACTTTGGGCTTCGTAGCGTCATTGCTTGGTTTTGCTGCTGATCCTGAGATTATCAAGTGGGCAGCTGATTTTCCCATGGAGGCAGCTTTACCTGGGTTCACATGGGAGGGATACAATATCTGCTGTTGCTGGTATTGATCACTGGCATACGCATTTGATGAGGATGTAGAATACGTCAACTGTTGTGCCTGATTGCTGGATGGAAAGGAGCTTCCTGGTTCTGAAGATGAGTATGGTGATGAGTAGAATGCAGGAGACGGATAAGATGAAGGAGGGTAACCGTATGGGGGAGAAGCGGGATATAAGGACGGTGGGGAATAAGAGAAAGAGGGCGGAGAAGGATAAGCTGAAGGGTAGAAGGACGGGGTTGCAGGGGGTAAAGAGGGGGCGTATGCAGCATACTGGTTTGAATATGGATACGAAGATCCTTGAGAGCGACGACCAGCTCGAGCTTTCTTTAGGTTTCTCATGTTAGGAATGGTCCATCTTGGGAGACCTGGGGAAAAAAAATGAAAAGTAATAAACCTTAAATGTGTGTGAAACCTACTCTGGAGATTCAATAAGGCAGTCGATAAGATTTCCTCGACTGTGATTTTTATTACAGAGGCTAACTAGAGAAATTTCATAAAAAATTAAGAAAGAAAAACGGTAAATTTAAACTTGTCCAGTGCCCGATGAATCGCATAAGCCTGATCCTAACAGTACGAAGAGGAATAATTTAAAACGCAGAAATGTCTAAACATAAAAATGAAATCGGACAAATCGGTTAAATCACTGAGATTCAGACGAATTACATTCCTTAGGCTTTTCCATGTTTGGCAAGATGGCCATGATTTTTCCATTTCTGTTCACCCATTCTTTCTGCTCACGAAATTTGAAGACTATTCTTCATTTAAAAAACTGCGTCCAAGCCTCTTGAGGTGATAAGTTTTAGTCAACGATCTTTACCTGATCTTTTACCGGAGAAAAACTTCCTAATGGGCGAGTGCTGATGTTTTGTGGTCCTTGAGCCAGCCACGATTGCAGAAATCAAGCTCATCAGAAGCAGTAATACGTCCATTATTTTATCCTTTGGTGTCAGTGAACCTACCAAAAAAGAAAAGGCTTCAAAGAGTTAGTCGACTTTCACTGGCGACGTTAATCAGTCGCTTCTTGTTTCGAAAAGACCCCTCTTTAATAGTTGTACGTCAGCTGCAGCAACGCTATACGCCAAGAAATGGCGAACTTTTTTGTGCCTCTTGTGAGGCGCGTTTTTTTTCCGATCTACCTCAGCTTAACCTATATATTATTTTTATAAACAGGACTGGTTTGGTCAAACATAACATACGCTTTGATAAGATAACTTAAGTGCGGCCTTATCTACTATCGTTTACCCGGTCAAAAAACTCAGGAACACGTTATGTCAATGTGGTTATAAATGATGTGTCAGCTTTGGGGCTTGTCAGATACAAGACACGTTCGCTTTATAAACGATCGACATGAATAGATTTAAAGTGATTTATAGTCGTTAAAAGGACAAGAGAGCAGAAAATATAAGCTTCAGTTTCTTCACTTGACCTGTAACCATAACATCATGTAACACCACCTGCATCCAGAGGTTTCTTCCACGGACTCCCCTAGGTGAGAGCTTCATCTCACGAAATGTGAATAAGATTTGGATATAAAATGAGTAGTTATCATTTTTAATCATCATAGTCTGCGATTTCTACGCTTATCTCTTCTTTTTTGTTTCAAATATCTTCCTCTCATATCTACTTAGCGTAACGAGGTGACTGCGCATTGGAAAAAGTAGGGCCAAATTGCTCCAATGACCTCATGTATTCTGCGCTAAATAACCTAAGGAAAAATGTGCCAAATATATGAAAATGCATTCCATAGTCTTAAGAGAGGAATGTAATTCACACTGGCACACCTCCTGTTGTCAATAGTCCATGGTCGTTACCATTTTGTACAACTTTAGCTCTCTGTTTTATGCCAACTTACCTGTTAAATTCACCAAAACCGAGTTAAATTGAACGAGAATCTTTGAAGTGTTCCTCGTACATTACCTGTTTGTCTAACTGGTCTTGCTGGCGGAAAGGTCAAGTACCGTTTTAACCCTGGCTCATGAAAACTAATTGAAAAGGATGTGTCAAACACAATATTTTGAACAGGTAAAGTATCTTTAAATCATCCTGGAGAAAAACATTGATGTCCCAAGAATTTGACTTATTCACAGCCGGCATCAGATCTTAAAATGGGGAGGAAAAAGTGTTCGTTCGTGAAAATTGAAAGTGTTTGATTTTTTTTTGTCTGGAAGGTCCTACCAGGTTGTTCATTGTTCTAAGGTTGTTCATAGTTGTAATGTCTGTACACAAAATTAGCTTCCCTATACCACGTACTGGTATCGTAGCCATGGTGAATACCGCTGAATAAAATTTACATTTCATGAATGGCTTCAATTTTAGCAGCCGACAATGAAGTGGAAGAGCTGGAACTGAGGGAAATCCCAAATTCTGAAGACGAAATGGGAAGCCAAGAAGGACTTATATGTAGGAATGGCAATACCAGTGTTAGCAGGTACTAATTTAAATGCCTCAAGTCGTGAGTGATTGCATAACTGAAACCTCATTCGCTGGCAATCTTTGAGGGATTCCATTACGATGTTTTGTACGATACGGAAGATTACTCATCGGATGCTCCTTCGTTCAAATACATCGCAGATAACTTTTAGTTCTTCCCTGACTCAGCTTAGATATAATGATTTTAGGGCCAATTACGAAGGAGTGCTTTATGCTTTTGATGTGGAAATTGAATTTGAGGCGACCGAAACTATATATGTGACGTAACTTTGTTTGGCAGCGAAGTATGCCGCTACGCTACAAAGGTCAATCTTTATTTGAGATATATGCACATGAAGAATTCTCATTAATATACCGTGCGCACCAGCAAGTTATTTCCAGGTTGATTCAATTTCGTGAGACTGGTCATAACACGGCTTGTTTTGGTGCAAATAACGAGGAAGTTGAATGATATCTGTTGATGTACATTTCGCTATGTCACGCAATTTTGCTTAACAATTATCACGCTATTTGCTGTGGTGATCCTAGTAAACGATGAGTCTTCGAAAGATGAATACTGGATCAAATGCTTCAATGTGCTAGCTTTTGCCACTGACATAAAATAGTCAAGGCTTTTTTTGCTAATTAAAGGCAATTAAATTGATAGAGCTCTATGAACTCTACTCTATCTTACCAACTCTTTGAATAAAACACTTTTGCTTTGAAAAATAAACTTGATTTCTCAGTGATGTTGATGTTCCTGTCAGTTAAACAAAAAATATATGGTCTCTTACTTAGTTTTACATATTTATTCAGACTTTCTGTTTTGCTGTGAAAAAAGAGATTGTGTAAGATTATGTGGTGGAAGAAACTGTTGTGGCAAAATAATGCAAATTATGTAAAACTGGATCATTGGGTAATGCAATTCAAGAATTTTCATTGTCTCACCCTTCATGAGCCAGTACACTATGTGTGCATATGATGAGGAGTTAAACTGGAGGTGTTTTTGTATATTAAAACATTCCCTTTGTTGTTACAAAATAAATTTGGGAGGATTTATTTATAGTTTTGGGCATTTTTAATAAAACAGTTATTCCACTTGTGCTTGTTGCATATGAGATGATTCAGCCAACTCAGCCATCTATTATCTCATATCCAATATACACTTGTGGAATAATAGTTTATGTTTAAAAATTCAGAGGAATCTACAGGGTATTAATTCAAATCAAGTAATTAACTTTTGTCCTATTATCTTTACTAAGATACTCAAATTGTAATGTTAGGGTGTAAAAAGTTACATTTACTCATGTTCAGAGTGGGCAACACTGACTTTTTTTCCTTGTGTGATCATTCGCCAACTTTGAATTTGCTGTGCTATGTTGCCTAGGATCAAGGGTTTGTAGAACTGTGTGTTTATTGGTTATATGAAAAATGAACACTTTTTTTATTAATCCTAGTGAGGTGCAACAGACTGAAAATGACTCTGTGCAGTTTGATGACATCTTGAAGCGTATTGGTGAATTTGGGCCCTGGCAAAGAGCCATTTATATCCTTTCATGTGTTTTTGTCCTCATCCCCAGTGGACTTCACACAGCTGGGGTGCCATTTATTACTGGGACACCAAAGTTTCAATGTGCGACACCAGACGTGGAGTGTGAAGTAAACAAATGTTGCAAAAACTGTACAAATTATGCATTTATAGGACCTTATGCCTATAACAGCACAGTTACTGAGGTGTGTTTCTTTAATTAATTATCTTTGTATTTAGCTACAGTTGAGAAGATCTAGGATACAACACTGACTCAGAATGTTAAGGCTACTATTTTGTTTTTACCATTTAACTCCTAGAAGTCAACATGTAACTTCTCCCTAATACCCAAACATTATCCAGCAAACAGGTAGTAAGAATACTCAAACTTATCAGGTAGCAGTTTTCTTCATCTAAGACCAAATTCTGTTTACTCATTTACAAAGAAATGTGGGACAGCTAGAGGGGAGAATTAATGATCAGATCTTAGGAGTTAAGGGGTTAGGGGTTTTGCAGTTCAGGTTACCCTACCAGACAGGGATTTCCTTCCCAAACTCATGCTTCCAGGCTTTGCATGGCAAGTGGTTAAGACTATTGACATATAACTACATATAACAGGGAGGGTCCAAGCCTTATTTAACCCTATAATACCCAGAAGTGATTGACATGTAACTTCTCCCTAAAATATCCATACATTATCCAGCAAATGGGTAATGAGAATACTCAAACTTATCAGGAAGAAGTTTTTATCTTGATCTAACACCAAATTCTCGCAACTAATTTACAAGAGAGTGTGGAGCAGCTAGAGAGGAGAATTAACGATCAGATCCACTTACCAGCTGAAATTTTTTATCTTGGTTTCATTTGAATTACTTGAATGTTTCAGTTATTTGCTTGGCTGATCCAACCTCTCTTTAATAAGCACTGTCAGCAGAAGTTAGGGATTTTTATTTTCTTACTCTAGAGTCTGATCTTGGACACATGTGTCCAAAAATCATACACTAGTGTCAGATTTTGAACTCTGGTGCATTCAGTTTTTCAACGCTAGTCTCTGATTTTGGGCCAAAGTGTCCATTTTTTTTAGACACTAGTGTCTGATTTTGTCCCAAATTGGACACTAAATGTCTATAATCCAGGGTTTTTATTAGAAGCCGGGTCCCGGGTACCGGCACCCGTCTACTTTAAACAGAGTTCCCGGCTACTTAAAGCACCAAATTAAAAAAATAAAATAGTTATGAAAAAAATTATCAACTTCAACTTAATTTTAACTCTTCCCTGTAAGTTTAAAGCATTTTTCTGCACTTATTTATCAATTACTTGCGATCAGATTGTGGAAATAAAATTTACTCTGATGAGAAAGGCGCTGCGCGATAACAGGGAACTTAAGCAAACCACGCGACGGCAACGAGGACATGGAAAAACAAAAGATATAATAGGCAGAACAATAGCTCAGCACGTGCGTTTGTACATTTCTGAGCCGTACAATGCAAAACAACAATGTGAAATCCCCACAATTTGCTTCGTCTGCGAACCGAAACCGCGACGGCAAATTATTTTAATTTCTAGTTGGACCTCAACACTTCTTTGATACGCTATGCTGAAGTTGAGGTGTGGCACCGTATGAGACGGTAAACACATGCAGCCATTTTTGAAATTCAAATTATAGGCAGTAATTCATTTTTTAAACGAAGTCTTCCTTGGCGTTGCCGTCCTGACTGCTTAAGGTCCCTTATCAATAAAGGGCAAAATTACTGAGCGCTGATTGGTTGAGAGAGAGGGCATTTTTTCTTAATCGAGGGCATTTTTAGTAATCAAGAGAGGGCATGATTACCTGTTAATGATTGGCTAATCCGTTGCATAGCAACCGTTCGTTATCTTGAAATTTGTTTAAAATAGACTGCGCGCGTGATTTTCCTTCGTATAAATTTTGCCCTTTATTGATAAACAAGTAATCCCATGAGACCTCGTACTATTAAGGATTAATTGCACTTGAGTTTTCAAAATTTTCCAAATTGCCCTCGTCGCTTCGCGACTCGGGCAATTTTGGAAAATTTTGAAAACTCTCGTGCAATTAATCCTTAATAGTACTTGGCCTTATGTGATTACCTATACTAATAGCGTTCTTAGAACTGTCTCTTTCTAAAGTGCCTAATTAGCTATTAAATAACTCTTAAACGTGACGTGCCATAAAATCGAGTGCGTTCTGCGGAGTGATCGTGGCAAGCAAAAGTAAAACTCACGCAAGCACTCGTTTGCACATGAAAAGTCAAGAGCGATGACCTAAAAAATTAAATTTATGTTTTAGTTGGATTACAGCCGTGAAAAGGCTTTTCGAAAAATTACGTACGCTATCTATGCTTCCCATCATTTAAACTCTTCATAAAACACTTTTTATTTTTCTGAAATAAAATTCAGAATATAAAATAAACATCAGGAGACGAATGTCGCCGTAAAAGATGCTTATCAGCTGACACGGCCTCTTAGTAAGCCAACATTTAGCTGACTTTTAAGCTCAAATATTCCGAGAAAGAAACTTGGATCCAATTTAATTTCATTGAAGATAAAGCCCATCGGAGGTTTTGAAAAAATTGTTTTCAGCGAGGGCTGATTGTGTATCAGACTCTTGTGTTCCATCAACATTTGTTTTAAATTTTTAACTGCTGGGTGATATATGGTGACAAAAGGAATTAATGTAAATGATTACGGCTCTGACTTTGAGTTTTCATAAACTACAAAGAGTGTTGTCAGTTTCACTCTTTAGAAGAAGAAGAAGAAAGGAAGCTCTGACAACAACAGCAGTGTTTTGATGTAGCTATAGCTGTGTAGAGAAACAAACAAACTCTCTCAGAGTACCATTATTTTTACTATAATCAGATTAAGTATGCGTCATTCCAGAAAGATTTCTTCACCAGATTGCAGAAAAGTGCGTTTCTGGGAGACTTAAGTTTTAAAAGTTTCTGGGGGAGCATGCCCCCAGACCCCCCCTAGAGGTTCAGGCCTTCGGCCCTCAATTATACAGTGTACCGGCCTACTCACAAGGCAGTGCCCTTCTACTTCAAAAGTAAATGCATTTAAAAGCCTGTACAAATGATAGATCCATGTTCAGTGACAAAGTCGTGGCTTTTAAAGTGTCCAATGGCAATCAAGACATGGACACTGTCCTATTAGTGCTCAAATCTGGGTGTTGTTAAACTAATTGCATTTAAAAATTTTGTTAAAAGCTTGACTAACACAGTACATATATGCATGAACTAAAATCACCATTTTGATGTTACCCTTATATTTTCTTTCTCATTTCCATATTTAGTACAACCTTATTTGCAATAGAGCTTTCATTGGTGCCAATGTACAGGCAGCATTTGGTGCAGGAATGTTGCTTGGATCTTTCATCTTTGGAGCAGTCTCTGATAATTTTGGAAGACGTTCTTGTATGCTGCTGTGTTCTGTGCTAATGGTATGCTTTTGATTGTAATTTTACCAATAGATTTTAGTTCATATTTGCCTTCTCTATGATTTGTTCCCTGCAGTTAGTGAGTCAATGGATTACATGACAAATGATGTGCAATGAAAACACAGAAATAAGGAGGAGAGTTATGTTACTTTCCCTTTTCTATTACTAGCTTTGTTGTGCTATGCTGTCTCATTTGCTTGGTGCCTTGTTGACAAGCTGAATGCATGGATTAGGTTACCCTCTATCATGACTATTTATAGTGAGAGCATGGAGATGAGTCTTGATTATGACCCTATGAAAATAGGAGGTAAAGTAAAGGACTAGAGAGAGTGAGGTTTATGAGTATAGAATCAACAATAACAATCAATCTTGTGACAAAAGGAAAACACAATGTCCATTGTTTTTGTTTCTGGCCTTTTCACCCAAAGATTGGATCCAGTTATAAATAACTGAGCAAGATATTTTCATTCTTTATGACTAATTTCTTGAGACTGCCATTAATCAATCTTTTATAAATGTAGGAAAATACTTTGCGTTGTTTTAGCTAACAGTTTCAGATTCTGATTATTACTTTTCAATAGTCATACCTTTACTTCTCTTCACAATATTAGGTAATTGTGACTATGAACAACTTCCCATGCTACATGTTTATTTTACTTCAGACGCTCTTCAGCCTGGGTGCAAGCTTTGCTAAATCCTTAGTCCTCTTCGCTGTCCTTCGATTTTGTACAGCAGCCTGTCTGACGGGTTTTTTCGTGGCTCATTATGTGTACGTCCTGGAGCTTGTGGGACCAACCTACCGCACTATGGCTTCAAAGTGTTGTGGTTTCTTTTGGGCCGCTGGTTCTGGCGCTATTGCTCTCATGGGTTATTACATTAGAGACTGGCGTACACTGCTCCTCGTTTCCAGCTGTCCTCCAGCTCTTTTCCTGCTTTTGTGGTTGTAAGTGTTCGAATAGCGCGGTTTCTATGGAGTGTTGTAAAACTTAAAGCAAAGCTATCACAAAAACCATTTATGCAAAAAAAAAAAATGTGCCAAGGTGCTGGACAAATTGCAGAGCGTATAGAAGCATATTCAATTACTTTCGACACTCAGTTGAAAACTCTTTCTATTGGACGGCTGGCTCCCTCCTCAAGTTTGACAGATAACGCGAATCCTAATGCGAATCGCTATTGATTGTCCGGCTGATTTGTTCCACTAAAAGAACAAACAAACATAAAACTTGAAAATACATGTACAAAGAAAGATGCTTTTTTTGTATTTTTGTTACGAGCTGCTGAGGCATCAAACCTCAAACCTCTTACGCTCTACCACTGAGCTGCAGAGACTCTACGGTGAGTCAGGCCATAACCAGATTCAAAGATGACATGCTTCCCGCTTGAAAGCCTCGTTTGAGTCAATCGACCAAGACAGACGGTGAATTTTAGGCTTGGTAATAGAGGTACAGTTGTAGCTCGGAGGTTGTCACATTTGCTAATCATCTGCGAGCGAACCAATGAAAGTGCTATAAATGCTCCATTCATTCTTTTTATGAACATCATACCTCGTAGCCAAGGTGAAAATTAAGCTCTCAATATGTTATTATTGCAGAATAATCCCAGAGTCTGGTAGATGGCTCCTTGTCCGAGGTCGTGTAGATGAAGCTGGCCAAATTGTGAGGAAGTTTGCAAAGAAAAATTCTATAATGTCAGATTACTTAAACAGAGCACTGGCAAAATGCAGCCGGGGGGAAATTCTCGCGCGCACAAGAAAAATACGACATTCACCCCTCGACCTGTTCCGGACACCACGCATGCGTAAGAGAACTCTGATTCTCTGGTTTTGCTGGTGAGTTGTAGTTGCTTACCATAAAGGGAGAGAATTAAATAAAGAATTAATTACAGATAGCTTTTTGATCACGCGCTGCAGGAAGCTTTCGCGCAATCAATAAATAGCTAAGCCTTTTTCTTCCTTACATCCTTCTAGGAAGAGGCGGTACTCTGTTTCAAGTAATCTTGCACTCCACAGTAATAAATACCAAATCAACTGATTGTTTTCTGATAGACCTTCTCCAATTATTTGAATTGCTCACCCCAGACCCTCCCATCGGTACGGAGTATAAGTTAAACAGACAAAAAGTTCTAACTCTCTTTATTATATATTGGTTCTTCTCAGGTTGGTAGTGAACTTAATCTATTATGGTTTCCTGTTCTACGTATCAGACTTGCCTGGAAGTCCTTATCTTAACATGATTATAATATATGTTGTCATTGATACACCTGGAATATTCCTGTGTTGGGTAACAGTACAGAAGTAAGTCTAGTTCCAGTATAATGAGGTTATTAATCGTTTAAATGTGTAGCACTTTTTATTTTCAGAACTTGAAACAGAGAGAAAAAACATTTCTAACTCAAATAGGGAAGTTTTCGCGCTCTTCGCACATGGGGTATACTCCGCGATGTTGGTGAATGTTAATGAATCGCGCACTCTAGTATTGTTTGTTACGTTAGTGTCTTTATATTTCCTCTATGTTCTGTTATGTTGTTTACTACGAAAGTGTCTCACGCACTGTTTTCTTTCTGACTGTCTGACTGTTACGTTAATGTCTCGCGCACTGTTTTCTGTGTTCTGTTTATTTGTTACGTTAGTGTCTCTCGCACTGTTTTCTCTGTTCTCTTTGTTTGTCACATTAGTGACTCGCCCACTGTTTTCTTTGTGTTCTGTTTGATTGTTTCTGACGTTGTCTCGCGCACTGTTTTCTCTGTGTTCTGTTTGATTGTTACGTTAGTGTCTCAGGCACCGTTTTCTCTGTGTTCTGTTTGATTGTTTGTTACATTAGTGTTTCGCGCACTGTTTTGTCTGTGTTCTCTTTGATTGTTTGTTACGTTAGTGCCTCGAGCACGGTTTTCTCTGTGTTCTGTTTAACTGTTCGCTAAGTTAATGTCTCGTGCATTGTTTTCTTTTTTGTTCTGTTTGATTGTTTGTCGCGTAAGTGTCTCTTTTACTGTTTTGTTTGAGTTCTGTTTGATTGTTTGTTACATCTGTGCCTCGCGCACTGTTTCCTCTGTGTTTTGTTTGATTATTTGTTGCGTTAGTGTCTCTTACACTGTTTCTTTGAGTTCTGTTTCATTGTTTGTAACGTTAGTGTCTCGCGCACTGTTCTTTTTAGTTCTGTTTGATTGTTTGTTACGTTAGTGTCTCGCGCATTGTTTTCTTTGAGTTCTGTTTGATTGTTCGTTACGTTAGTGTCGCGCGCACTGTTTGCTACGTTAGTGCCTTGCGCACTGTTTTCTGTGACCTCTGTTTGATTGTTTGTTACGTTAGTATCTTGCACACTGTTTTCTGTGAGTTTTGTTAGATTGTTTGTTACATTAGTGCCTTGCGCACTGTTTTCTGTAAGTTCTGTTAGATTTTTTGTTACGTTAGTGTCTCGCGCGCTGTTTCCTTTGAGTTTTGTTAGATTGTTTGTTACGTTAGTGACTTACGCACGGTTTTCTTTGAGGTCTGTTGGATTGTTTGTTATGTCAGTGCCTTGCGCACTGTTTTCTTTGAGTTCTGTTAAATTGTTTGGTGCGTCAGTGTCTTGTGCACTGTTTTGTGTGAGTTCTGTTTGACTGTTTGTTACGTCAGTGCCTTGCGCACTGTTTTCTTTGAGTTCTGTTTGATTGTTTGTCACGTTAATGCCTCGTGCACTGTTTTCTTTGCGTTCTGTTAGATTTTTTGTTGCGTGGGTGCCTTGCGAACTGTTTTCTTTGAGTTCTCTTAAACTGTTTGTTACGTTAGTGCCTTGCGCACTGTCTTTTTGAGTTTTGTTGGAATGTTTGTTACGTTAGTGCGTTGCGCACTGTCTTTGACTTCTGTTTGATTGTTTGTTACATTGCTGCCTTGCGCACTCTTTTCTGTGAGTGCTGTTAGATTGTTTGTTACGTTAGTGCCTTTCGCACTGTTTCTCTGAGTTCTGTTAGATTGTTTGTTACGTTAGTGCCTTGCGCACTGTTTTTTTGAGTTGTGTTGGATTGTTTGTTTCGTTAGTGCCTTACGCACAGTTTTCTTTGAGTTCTGTTTAATTGTTTTGTACGTGTTCTTTGGCTTCTGTTTGATCGTTTATTACATTACTGCCCTGCGCACTGTTTTCTGTGAGTGGTGTTAGTTTGTTTGTTACGTAAGTGCCTTGCGCACTGTTTTCCTTGAGTTCTGTTAGATTGTTTGTTACATTAGTGCCTTACGCACTGTTTTCTTTGAGTTCTGTTTAATTGTTTTGTACGTTAATGCCTTGCGCACTGTTTGCTGTGAGTTCTTTTTGATTGTTTGCTACGTTAGTGCCTTCCGCGCTGTCTTTTGTGAGTTCTGTTTGATTGTTTGCTACGTTAGTGCCTTGCGCATTGTTTTCCTTGAGTTCTGTTACATTGTTTGGTACATTAGTGCGTTTTGCACTGCTTTCTGTGAGTTTTGGTTGATTGTTCGCTATGTTAGAGCCTTGCGCACTGTTTTCTTTGAGTTCTGTTAGATTGTTTGTTATGTTAGTATCTTGCACTTTTTTCAGTGAGTTGTGTTTGATTGTTTGGTACCTTAGTGCCTTGCGCACTGTTCTCTTTGAGTTCCTTTAGATTGTTACGCTAGTGCCTTGCGAACTGTTTTCTGTGAGTTCTGTTTGATTGTTCACTAGGTTAGTGTCTTGCGCACTGTTTTCCTTGAGTTGTCTTTGATTGTTTGTTACGTTAGTGCCTTGCGCACTTTTTCTTTGAGTTCTGTTAGATTATTTGGTACGTTACTGGGTTGCGCACTGCTTTCTGTGAGTTCTGTTTGATTGGTTGCTATGTTAGTGCCTTGCGCGCTGTTTTCTGTGAGTTCTGTGTGACTTTTTGGCACATTAGTTCCTTGCGCACTGTTTTCTGTGAGTTCTGTTTGATTGTTTCCTACGTTACCGCCTAGTGCACTGTTTTCTTTGAGTTCTGTTAGATTGTTTGTTACGTTTGCCTTGCGCACTGTTTTCTGTGAGTTATAGTGGATTATTCGCTACGTTAGTGCCTTGCGCAAAGTTTTCTCTGAGTTCTGTTAGATTGTTTGTTTTGTTAGTATCTTGCTACGTTAGTGTCTTGTGCACTGTTTTCCTTGAGTTGTCTTAGATTGTTTGTTACGTTAGTGCTTTGTGCATTCTTTTCTTTGAGTTCTGTTAGACTGTTTGGTACGTTAGTGCGTTGCGCACTGCTTTCTGTGAGTTCTGTTTCATTGTTTGCTACGTTAGTGCCTTGCGCGCTATTTTCTGTGAGTTCTGTTTGACTATTTGGTACGTTAGTTCCTTGCGCACTGTTTTCTGCGAGTTCTGTGAGACTGTTTCCTATGTTACTGGTTTGTGCATTGTTTTCTTTGAGTTCTGTTTGATTGTTTTTTGCGTTTATCTCTCGCGCACTTTTTTCTGTGAGTTCTGTTAGATTATTTGGTACGTTACTGGGTTGCGCACTGTTTTCTGTGAGTTCTGTTTGATTGGTTGCTATGTTAGTGCCTTGCGCGCTGTTTTCTGTGAGTTCTCTGTGACTTTTTGGCACATTAGTTCCTTGCGCACTGTTTTCTGTGAGTTCTGTTTGATTGTTTCCTACGTTACCGCCTAGTGCACTGTTTTCTTTGAGTTCTGTTAGATTGTTTGTTACGTTTGCCTTGGGCACTGTTTTCTGTGAGTTGTAGTTGATTATTCGCTACGTTAGTGCCTCGTGCAAAGTTTTCTCTGAATTCTTTTAGATTGTTTGTTATGCTACTGTCTTGCGCACTGTTTTCTGTGAGTTCTGTTTGATTGTTTGCTACGTTAGTGTCTTGTGCACTGTTTTCCTTGAGTTATCTTAGATTATTTGTTACGTTAGTGGTTTATGCACTCTTTTCTTTGAGTTCTGTTAGATTGTTTGGAACGTTAGTGCGTTGCGCACTGCTTTCTGTGAGTTCTGTTTCATTGTTTGCTACGTTAGTGCCTTGCGCGCTATTTTCTGTGAGTTCTGTTTGACTATTTGGTACGTTAGTTCCTTGCGCACTGTTTTTTGCGAGTTCTGTGAGACTGTTTCCTACGTTACTGGTTTGTGCATTGTTTTCTTTGAGTTCTGTTTGATTGTTTTTTGCGTTAATCTCTTGCGCACTTTTTTCTGTGAGTTCTGGTTGATTGTTCGCTACGTTAGTGCCTTGCGCAATGTTTTCTTTGAGTTCTGTTAGATTGCTTGTTTTGTTAGTATCTTGCGCACTGTTTTCTGTGAGTTCTGTTTGATTGGTACGTTAGTGCCTTGCGCACTGTTTTCTTCGAATTCCTTTAGATTGTTTGTTACGCTACTGTCTTGCGCACTGTTTTCTGTGAGTTCTGCTTGATTGTTCGCTACGTTAGTGTCTTGTGCACTGTTTTCCTTGAGTTATCTTAGATTGTTTGTTACGTTAGTGCTTTGCGCACTCTTTTCTTTGAGTTCTGTTAGACTGTTTGGTACGTTAGTGCGTTGCGCACTGCTTTCTGTGAGTTCTGTTTCATTGTTTGCTAGGTTAATGCCTTGCGCACTATTTTCTGTGAGTTCTGTTTGATTATTTGGTACATTAGTTCCTTGTGCACTGTTTTCTGCGAGTTCTGTGAGACTGTTTCCTACGTTACTGGTTTGTGCATTTTTTTCTTTGAGTTCTGTTTGATTGTTTTTTGCGTTAATCTCTTGCGCACTTTTTTCTGTGAGTTCTGGTTGATTGTTCGCTACGTTAGTGCCTTACGCAATGTTTTCTTTGAGTTCCGTCAGATTGTTTGTTTTGTTAGTATCTTGCGCACTGTTTTCTGTGAGTTCTGTTTGATTGTTTGGTACGTTAGTGCCTTGCGCACTGTTTTCTTTGAGTTCTTTTAGATTGTTTGTTACGCTACTGTCTTGCGCACTGTTTTCTGTGAGTTCTGTTTGATTGTTTGTTACGTTAGTGCCTTGCGCACGGTTTTCCTTGAGTTGTCTTAGATTTTTTGTTACGTTAGTGCCTTGCGCACTGTTTTTTTTTAGTTCTGTTAGATCTTTTGGTACGTTAGTACCTTGCGCAATGTTTTCTTTGAGTTCTGTTAGATTGCTTGTTTTGTTAGTATCTTGCGCACTGTTTTCTGTGAGTTCTGTTTGATTGGTACGTTAGTGCCTTGCGCAATGTTTTCTTCGAGTTCTTTTAGATTGTTTGTTACGCCACTGTCTTGTGCACTGTTTTCTGTGAGATTTGCTTGATTGTTCGCTACGTTAGTGTCATGTGCACTGTTTTCCTTGAGTTGTCTTAGATTGTTTGTTACGCTAGTGCTTTGCGCACTCTTTTCTTTGAGTTCTGTTAGACTG